CCCCCCCCCCCCTCAACTCATCTGTATCACTCTACCATCAACACACATCCATCCAGTCACTGGAATTGAAAAACATAGACCTGGAGTCTGACCTGAGTCTAATCCCGTCACCTCAACAGAGGAAGTCTGAGCTGCTGAGGTGCTGTTTGACCTCATGTGCTCCTTCACCATGTGAGGTATTTACAGAGCAGCAGAGCCTCTGACCTGCTCTTCTTACCCCCCCCCCCCACTGCCGTCACCTGGATCCTCTCAAGCGGCCTGACAGGAGGAACGCTCCGGCTGTCCACACACTGCTTCCTCACGGACACGCACACACACACATTCTTCTATCTCTGATTACAATCTTCATGACCTTTATTAAGTCATTACTCACGCACAGCACACTTCTCTCTTTTTTTAAAAATCTTTACTGAGCAGCTGCACTGGATCTTTAAAGAGGTTGGGTGCCTTGCTCAAAGGCAGCAGTTGTTGTAAAAGCGGAAGGAACATCACTCATTCAGCTCACAGCACCGACAACTTCCCACTGTCTTACAAAGTAAAGAGAAGAAGCAGAAGATACAGAAGCAGAGCAAAGGAGAACAAAAACAGTTTTCAGGCTGACTGCGTAAAGCAGAGAGATGCTTTCATTCAAACCAGGCTGAATAAGAACTTTCATAACTCCAGACAGAACCTCCAGTACATTAGACCTAAAATATACAGATAACACAGACTGTTTTTCAACGGTCTTCAGGGGGAAACATCCATCCACTAACAAAATGTGTTCTGTGAGCTTCCGTGTCCATTTGAACAACGGTTTGACTGGTTGCTAGTGCCCGTCTACTTAAAGGTTGGCAGGTAGCGGTGAGGTTGCAGATGGCAACCGACTGAATACGCCTCCGCTCACTCCTCTCATTTCAAGAGTGCGGCATCGTGAGCCGACGTGTGCAAAACTGTGGTAACGCCACGGTATCTCCCAAGACGTTCGCCGTGCTTTCTTTAAGAGCAGCAAACTTCAGACAGCGGCTGACGTTACCAAGGTTTTGCACTCGGCAGTTCACGTTACCCCAGTTTCACAAGCGTGTCGGAGAGCTACGGTGGCCTTCAGGTAAGCTAAAAAAGATGAAAGGCCCCATCTAGAGCCAGTGATTGGTTTGTCCGTTCTGGGCTACTGCAGAAACACGACGGTGCAACATGGACTCCGTGAGGAGGATCTACTTCCTATGTAGAAATAAACGTCTCATTCTAAGGCAACGGAAACTCTTTCAGGTCATTATACACTAATGAAAACATAGTTATGAATATTGTACTCCATTCCGTTGACAGACAATCTCTCTTTTCAGTCACACTGTGACAGACGTACACACACACACACACACACACACACACACAGTACTTCTATAAAGAGAGAGATGTTGAAACAGAGGAATGTGGTAAAGTTCCAGGTGAATAAAAAGCCTTCAGTGTCTGACCTCTGTCAGCTCTCTTCCCCCAAACACACCCGACTCTTATCTCTTTCTCTTATCAGCTGCACGTGTGTGTGTGTGTGTGTATTTCTGTCTACACACATGCAGGTTTATTTGACCAGTGAGGGCAAGCAGGCTCCAGGGTCAGGGTCAGTCATTGTGTCTGTGTTATCAGGTCTGATGTCTGCAGAGAGACGGAGAGTAAACACGGAGTAAAGCTCTGTTTACTCTCTTTCAGAATCTCTCTCATAGATTCTCCATTAGAGCTCGCTCTGGTCATCTACCAAGTGCTAAATACAGGATGTATTTAGACAGAGCGCGGCCTCACTTAAACAAATCACCTCGGTTTGTTACAATATAAAATATATGGCGTCCATTTAGTGGCTCATTTCTCCAAAAGCACCTTATAGCTCCATAACTGTGTGTACTTTCAATGTAAATGGCAACGGAGAACCGTTTCACTCAAATATTTAGTAACCAGCATGCTGAGCAGAGCTTATAAATGCGTTAAGTGTGTTCAAAGAAAGCAGTGCTTTGAGCTAAATGCTGACATCAGCATGCTAACATCAGCATGCTAACGCGCTCACAATGCGTTAACACGTATATGTTTGGGAGGTATGCTTCTCATGTTCACCATCTTGTTTTAGTGTGTAGCATGCTAACATTTGTTAAATAGCACTAAGCACATATAGAGGCGAGGCTCTTGGGAATGCCAGTCGTTTAGCAGGTATTGGGGTTATAAACGAAAAAGTAGAACGTGATTTTTATCGTTTATGTAATTTTCAAGATTTACAGATTATTCCCTCGTTTCAAGCTAAAGATGTCCTTTGTCCTGAGACCGTAAACTAAATATCTTTGGGTTTTAGACTGTTGGTGAGACAAAACAAGCGTTTTTAGAATGTGTCACTTTGGGTTTAAGGTAAATGTAACAAACATTTTGTACTTTTGCCTGTTTTTATAATCGACAAACCAATCAAGAAACGAATCATAAGAATAATCAAATATAGTCGGTTGCAGCCCTGCTCTAAAGAATCTCCCTTCTTGTTTAAGTGTTTGAAACACAGAGAGGGAAGAGGGGTCTGGGTGGAGACTGAGTGCTAAGTGGATGTGATATTTTTCTCAGGCCCTACACAGCACTGTGCTGTGGGTGGCAGAGGCCGGGGGATTTCCACCTCAACCCCCCCCCCCCCCCCCCGGCTGAATCAGACCCAAACAGTCCTGCAATTTATCAAACTCAATGAATTCAAGCCCGACTACATGGCACAGTGATTCTATGCATTCACACCATCGTGCAACTGTATGTTCAGTTCATGATAACAAACAAAGGTAGTGAAAACAAAACTTTGGCAGAGTTGAAGACCCCCTCCAGTTGTTTTCACTGACACTGCTGCAGACGGATTTACAGTAAGGCCGACCACGTCGGGAGGTTTTGTGGGGAAAGGTCTGTTTATTTTTGGGCAGAAGAAACTCTACACTCTGTGAGGTAAAATAAACTTTTAGTGCGTGTTTATATATCAGAACTGTGCTCTCTTAAAGAGGTTATTGTTCTTTAAATTTCATAAGAGACCCAGGGAAACACAAACAAATACGTGCCGTACCCATGTTTGCACATTTGTAGCAGCTGTGTGCGTGTATCTGATTTTCCATGGTTGCATCAGAGAAGGCTGCTGAGAAACCGGTGTGATTCTGGTCATAAAGCATCCCACCCTTTTATAAGTTGAACCTTCTGTGATGACGCGCCGGCTCACACAACTTCCATTTATTTCAACACAAGTTGCGGTGTACAGGTTACCAATCTGAGTCCACACAGGATTAGAAAACACAATTATATGTTATTCCTCCAATGGTCAACAATGGCAATCGTCATGTAAATATCTGTAATATCTGTTCTTTGTAATTCAATTACAAAATCATCCTTAAACTTCTTCTTTCTTTCAACTCCAGGTCAGGTTCAAACTTTTCTCAGGAATAGTTTGATATTCTGGGAGATACGGATATTCTCTTTCCAGCCTCTAATTAGAGGAGAAGATCAAGAGCTACGGCCGGAGATGTTCAGCTTATATTAGTACAAAGACTGGACACGACCAGCCTCTAACAACCTGTAAAGCTCATTAATTAACATTTGATATCTAGTTTGTTTGATTCATACAAAAATCAGATTGTAAAAATGAACAAAAAGACCTGGAGTAAGAAATACGTTGGAATATAACCCAAATATTGACGTTTTAATAATTTATTTTTTTTGTGAGTTTTAGAGGTAAAGGTTGGCCGGTTTTGTTACCTTTGGACGGAGCCAGCATCTCTGTTTCTAGTCTCATCTCACAACAATAACTAACAGAGATGTGTGGATTGGCCCAGGCGTCATCTGAATCACGAATCACCGTGTAAGCATTAATTATCCGCCCGCCATCCCAATGAATTATTTTCTCAGATTTAGAGACCGGCACACACATGGACATTTCATTTCATTTGATTGACGATTGTTTACTTTAACGATTTACTGATAAGATTAGAGAGGCTGCTCTCAGTAATTGTAAACGCTTGCATGCATGTAATAATATCATGAAACACAGGAACATAGAAGCCAAACATTCAGCTTCTGAAATAATCAATGCTGTTCCTCATACTTATATATACTTGTATATTTTCCTCATTAATGATGTATTATTTCACATCCCCCATTAATAATAATGTTAATGTTTATGACCTGACCCGCCCAATCCACAGATTACCAAGGGTGCCCATGGATATAACTGCGATCCGCGCATCACTAACAACTAATAACTATCCCAGTGTTGTGGTTCAGAAGTGAGGCAGAGGAGACAGAGCGGGGGATGTACAGTTGTGCCTCATCAGCAGATCTGTCAACTTTGAGAACTTTCAATTTTCACACTGTTTCCCATACAAAACGCATCTTTTGACACTTAAAATACATTATAACTTTCTCTTTCCCTGGTCTTGGTAATGCCATTGACCCTGTCCCAGTCTTTATTATCACCTGCCTCTCCCTCAGTTCCTGTGCATTCCTCTGAGCCTGTTAAAGCCGGAGAGCTCCTCTTGTTGCCTCCGTCACTCTGAGCAGTCAGTTGAAGTGGTAGAAATCTGTTCCTTCCTTTAGCAGCAAAGAGTTGAGGTTTTCCTCCAGAACGCCTGCTGTCATGTCCTACGGATGAAACAACAACAACATGAGAGAAACAACAGGAAGAGAAAAAACACACACACACACACAAAAGCATATTAGGAGGAATGATTACACACTTCCGTTGTTATTCTCTTTTTAATGAAGGTCCTTTTGTCTTCAGAGATTCAGACTCACCAACAAAAGACGAGGTTTAACAATGGAAAATGTACAAAGTTCAAATGATGAAGAATTGTTGATTAAAGCTATTTGACAACTTGGTATAAAAAAAAAACTTGTGTGATTCAGTCCAGGTGTTAATATGTGTGTGTGTGTGTGTGTGTGTGTGCGTGTCATAGAGAACGGGAGAATGATTGAGTCCAGGTCTCCTTGTCCTCCGACAATAATTACTTCTCCCAATTCCCATAATTGAGCAATTAGTAGCCCCCGTAGGTGGGGTCAGTCTAGATTTGACGTCTGAGTCTGGCTAGGTGACAAATACGCAGTTAGTGATTTGGCTGCCAGAACAGCAGGATGTGTGTGTGTTATTGTATATTCATTTATATATTCATCAAATGAATAAAAAGAGATTATCTTAAAGATTATAAAAAGAGTCATTGTCTTAAGAAAAGGCGAAGCAATAGCAATGAACATGATGTACAAAACTGAAGAGTGGCAAAAACATCAGATGTTTGTATGAACATCATGTGATCAAAGATCAGGCTGCTGTCTCTACCCATTTCCCCTCTCTGTGTGCGTGTGTGTGTGTGTGTGTGTGTGTGTGTGTGTGTGTGTGTGTGTGTGTGTGTAATGTCCTGCGCAGGGCACACGCCCTTGATCATTATGTTGTTAAGTTAGATTACAAGACCTGTGGGACAGGCGGTCAGAAACACCAAACACGTTTTCTGCTCACCAGTTTAACACAGATGATGAAGGGAGAGGAGGCGTCTCTGTAGTGCAGAACTGGGATTTTTGGCTTCGGTCTTTGCTGGAGAATATCAAGAGAAAGAGTCGTTTGAATCATAGCTTATATCTTGTAAACAATAACCCTGTTGTATTTAGTGAGCCAGTGGCTGATCTCACCTTGGATTCCTCGTATGTGTAAAAGCCTTTCTGGATCTTGTTCTCATCGACGTCACAGAACGCTTTCACCTGATAAATGAACCAGAAAAGCGGTGAAAGCTGGCGCACACTCACGTCCAACACCAAGACTTCTTCCACCAATTCTATGTGTTTCACATCTGACTGCATAGCTGGAGGTAGCATACCTTCTCCCGATTGGTCGGGCTCAGGCTTCGATACAGCTTCCGGCCCTGTTTCCCGGCGTTCCATATGGTGAAGCTCTCCCATTGGCTGAGAACTCGCTCCTGCAGGAAGTCCACCCGCAGCTTCCAAATGGTTTCCCTGCAAACAGAGGACATGAGTGGAGGATGGACACAGAAGAAGGCAGCTTCAAAATGAGGAAAACTGTCAAGATTGTTTGTTTCTTTTAAAATGAAAACAATGTTTCATACTTTGCTCTTTGAATTCATTTTCCAAAAGCATTCGCTGCATTAAATAAAAATGCATATTGAAAACTGCATTTTGATATACAGTCTGATTTTGCAAGTGGATGGTAAAATGAGCTTGTCGTCCTGTTGCCTGCACTTTGACTGATATCCACAGCTGTGCACAGGCCACGCGCACACACACTTACAGTCAGATATGCATCTTCACACTCTATTCATGCTCTTAACCTCTTCCTCTTCCCCCCCCCCACATGCATGTTGAGTGATTGCATGGACACATTCACAGGAGGTTCTCCGCACTCGTCTGCTGATGTGAGCGCCTCACTGGGTCTAACAGTGGGCCTCATATGCCAAACAAACCCACCACCGTGGCTGAGCGCGGGTGGTCTCCAGATTGCTTTTCTAGACATTCTCTGTGGGCTTTGATTCTGAGACCTGGCAGTAATGTGGCAGAGATTTACTATGAACTGTATCTGTATACACATACTGAAGCCTTCATCCTCCTAACACCCTGCAGATCAAAAGGCTAACACACTTTCATGCACTCTGGTACACGCGCTCACAGTTATAAACACAGCTTTTCTGTGTTGAGAAGCCTCGCTGCTCAGTTACTATTTGGCACCATCTAGACTTTTAAAACACACACTTCTCACCTCACCGACAGAGCGTCTACAATTAGACAATGTGTGTGTGTGTGTGTGAGAGAGAGAGACAGAAGGAAGATGATGGTTTTATTTGGCTAAAGAGAGGAAGTAGGTATAGGCTGTGGATGGGAAGGGTAACAAGAAGTGGGGGAGAGTGGAAAGTAGCCAAGACGAGCTTGAAATAGGCATCCAAAAATAGACAGATGATAGATGAAGACAGAGAGGAGGATGATCGGTGAAGGAGTGCGTCAACACGGGCAGATATACGAGCAGCGGACAGAAGAAAGGAAGGAAGGACGGACGGAAGGAAAGATGGGATGAAAGGAAGGGAGGTGTTGTGGTAGAGAAGGCAGGAAGGACCTTCTCCTTTGGTGTGTTTTAACATTTGAGGAACTCACACGCACCTGCAGACACTACATGACCTTGCTGAAGCACAGGCAGCAGCAGGAGTGTCAGATCCTTCAGACACACACACACACACACACACACACACACACACACACCCCTACCCCAACACATACACATGAACATGGTTCACAACAAGATCCGATTCCCACAGCGTCTCAGAGATACTGAACATTCCACAGAGGGAAGTAAAGAGGTTGAAATCCCTGATTCATATGCTGGGAAAGTGTCTGGAATTCCACATCCAACATATTCTGAGAATCTTAACGGTATAAAAAACATGCGTCTGTGTGCAGGCGTGTGCATATTTGTGTGTTAGAGTATCGAGCCTTGAGAAAATCTGGGATGCCAGCAGACTGCTGTGAGTATGTAGAGGATCAACACTGTGTGTGTGTGTGTGTGTGCAGCAGGGGAAGGGGTGTGTAGCGAGACTGACTCTGTCACAGAGTGCGTGGTGGCCTTCTCATGGTAGCGGTACACCAGCAGGCACTGATCCACCCTGGCCACGCCCCCTCCATGACGAAGACTCTGGTAGAAGAAGAGCAAGTCCTCTGGGACTCCCTGGAGAGAGTGTGAGATAAAGGGTGGCGATGAATATGTGCAACTGAAGCTCAGGTAAGTTCGGGTGGAACGTTCTTTGGTTGAATATGTTGTGAAAGTGTCCGGGTCCATTGAGGTGAGGACATAATACAAAAGAGAAGTGAGAGCGGGTCCAAACACTGTTTGTCTCGGGGAGTACTGCTGCGTACGTGGCAGAAGGAGCTGCGTGAAACTGAACAATCGGGTTTGAAGACAACAAGTTTGAAAATGCAATAACTGCTAGCCCTCTGCAGCCCGCCTCACATCTCTGCTTGAGGCTAGCAGCTCAATGCTACATCCGCCACTACTAGCATAGCACACCTGAATCCCCCACAGTGCTGTCGTCAGTCAAATTGCATTGTGGGTAATATGGGTAATAATGGAGGCTTACTAAGGATGGGTGGATGGGTGGACTGTCATTTGGAGAGGCACAAGAAACAGGCTGAAAGGGCGTTTGGAGTAGTTTGGGCGAATACGCTCACCTTGCCTCCCTCGTCGAACGGTCCGACCTTCAGGTACCAGCTCCTCGAGCCGAACCATGTCGGCATGACGACTGTGGGCCCATGGGACGTGTACACCTGAGACGAGAGGACAGTTCAGATTATAACACGGAACATTTGGACAAACACAATATAGGAATTACAATTTATCAGTCATACTGGGTCACAGTGAACGGACAATAAAAACAAATACATCTTGCTCTATTATATACAAAGTGTGTGTGTTTGGTCGGGGAAGAACCAGAGAGACGAGAGATCACACCTGAGCCTGTGTTTGGGAGGTTTGTGGGTGTCAGCAAAGCGCCTCTGGGACCCGTGTGGGGGTGTAACCCTCAGGAAATAACAGTGCGCAGGGTGTGCACCCATAGCGGAGGTATGTGACGACCAACAGGTTGTTTTCATGTAGTGTTTCCTCTGCTCCTCGACTCTCTCCTCTGCTGTGTGCATAAGTGGGTCAGTTTGACCGAGCCCCACACACACACACACACACACACACACACACACACACACGCACGCACACGCACACGCACACGCACGCAGCCTGCCCTTCAGATGCATTCATTCCAAAAAAAAAGAATCAGCCAATGCGGCAGCTTACTGGAGGGTTGTGTGGCGGTGTTCATTTGTGCTTTGAAACCTAACCGCTGGGAAACAATCAGCAAATAATGTTTTATTTCTCTAATTCACAGTTTTGTTTTTGAATAAATCTGCTTCCTCTTTTCATTCACTCTCTAGCTCGCTCGACCGCTGCTGCTGCTCTCTCTCTTTAGCGAGAGGCGTGGCCAACTTTGAATGTGGTGCATTTACAATCATCAACCGACGATGCTACATAGTGTACCGTTAACATGTGATGATCTGAACTCTACTCTGGAGGGATGGACATCATTCCTCCACAAGACATTCATGCATTTAGGTCTTTTAATGACGGTGGCGGTGGAAAACAAATGTCTACATGTCGGTCCAATATCTCCAATAGGCGTTCAACGGAGTGGAGATCTGGTGACGGCAATAGAAAGGTCAAGGTTTGTATTACAGTCAGGAAATGGGAAAGATATTCTGAACAAATATCCACTAGTGGGCAGATGAGTTTAGAATCTTTGATTAAATTAAAGTGGAGTAGTGGGAGTAATAGAACAGAAACATATGCAACTGATCTGATGTTGAATAAAAGTCAATGTGTGATTCTTCAGGAAATGTTGAAGAGAGGAACAGAAAATATGAATAAAAAGAAACTACAGAAGGACCAGTGCATCTAAGTACATAGTATTAGTTGGGAGTATAAATATAGTTTTATCATATTCATATCTCTTCATATTCAATGCAAACATACATCCAGGATTTGGCAGACGGCTCATGGGAATTTTCTATTTGTCTTTTCAGTCAAATGGAGAAGAATTCATCAAAACGTCTAATCATGCAAACAAAATAGGTCAGAGTGCAGCGCCGCATGTGGTCTCTTACAGGAGTGTGTGCTTCCTGAAGTGTGCAGGGGAAGGACACACACTTCCATCCTTTTCACACATGATCTTTGACTAATGACTTTGTTTTGGCCTCTCCCTCTCTTTGATACTCCAGGACCACATTACGGCACCTACATGTCTTACTCTTTCTACCCCCAACTCATTCGCTCCACTGCAGCCCCCCCCCCCCCGCCTCTTTTTGTTCTTCCCTTCTTGTGGTTTCTTCAGTGGTGTTGTTGCGTTTTGAATCTGAGGGTCATTTGAGGTTGAGCAGTTTCCTCCTTCAACTATGTCACTGTGCTTCACTCTGTTTGTGTACACGTGCATGTGTGTGTGTGTGTGTGACTGTTCTTGGATGAAGTTAAATGCTGCATAACTGAAATGCATTGCAGATGAAGAAAATTGTGAAAAACATCTGGATTCAGCCAGTTCAACAGCTGGACAGAATCTAGTGTGTATGTGTGTGTGTGTGTGTGTGTATATGTCCACCTACATCTTCTCTCCCTTCTGTTGTAATATTGCAACATTTTGCAGATGTAAGCTGTGGCCAAAAGCATGAATAAGAATGAGTTCTGGGAAACCAGGGGACAGAGAGAGAGAGAGAGAGAGAGAGAGAGAGAGAGGGAGAGAGAGAGAAAGTTGGTGTAGATGTGAGAAGTCAGAGTGGTAGGGAAGGTTTGCGATAACCATATCTAATGTCCTACAGATGAACACTCAGGGTCCACCTCTGGATCAAGTTAAAAGAGCCCCACCCCGAGTAAATCTCTGGTTTAACTCATTTAGATTCTGTTTCTTTACCCAGAAACTGCAAGTGAAGGCAGATAAAGCAAAGAAAGAATATGGGAAGGGAACCGAGCTGCCTTTAAGCCTGCAGAATCAATGTATGACCTCATTCTCATGCTCCATGAAACTTAATATCACATAAATATCCAGGAATGCCTGCTAAGGAGTTATGCAGACGGTGTGTGTGTCCGTGTTTCACCCGTCTTGTGGGGACACACATCTGATCACACGGTCACGTTGTGGCGATTTTCCTTCTTCTTGGGGACAAAATGCACGTCCCCCTATTAAATCATTAATAGGGTGAAGACTTGGTTTAAGGATAAAATGAGGGTTAGGATCAGGCTGGCAGCGGTTATGGTGAGGGTAATGAGTCAATGTAATGTCCCCATGAAAACACAACTGTGTGTGTGTGTTTGTGTTAGAGAGAAAGTGGGTCCAGGTTGTCTTGTATCCTTGGTTACAGTGTGTTTTGTTCAGACAGCAACAGTCGACTTCCATCTGTACATAGAAGTACTGCCAGTTGTGTCACACAAAAATATCACCTATCATTTAGTGATTAAGTAGACTATTTAATATGGAGAAAGTAAGATAATTAGCCGTTGAAGTATGTAAAAATAAACTAAATAACACCTTGGTAGTAAGTAGCCACTGCAATTTAGATTTTTTCTGGTGTGTAAAATCTGATTAGGCGATAAAATGTTTCCTGCAAATTGGCAGATGTTATCTGCCAATTCGCAGGAAACTCCAGCTCATTCTTTCTGTTTTGAGTCATTAAATGATTTCTTATGAAATCCAATGTGGAAAGTGACGGTGAGCGTTTACATCTTAGAGATGGATTTGTTTACAGGACCTTTCACACACTGATGCAACACAATATGCGTCACATATCAAAACGTCTATTGCGGGAGCAGTTGAAACTGAAAAAAAAGAAGCTTTCTTTTGTTTCCCCCGCCAACAGTTTCCACTATGGACGTCTCCCAGCACACAGCTGGCAGCGGGACCCGTTTCCTCTGGTGGGACGGGGATGGACAGAGAGGTCAGGAGCGACGCTGCGTCCTCCGTCCGTGCCACCGCCACATTTCCGTGGAAAGTGCGGGACGGCAGGTACGTATCCTGTTTCTGTCTGACCTGGTTGCTGCCTGGCACGTGACCTCTCGCATACGCACAAACACACACGGCATCAACACACACACACACACACACACATGCTGCTTCGAGCTGCGGGTGTCTACCTGTGTGGCGAGCTGACCCTGAGTGAGAGCGTTGATCCAGCGAGTGTAACGCTCAGTCGATCCCTCTGGAACCCTCTGAACTTTACAGCCAATCAGCTATCATGAAAACACACAAACACCGTGTGAGCATGAACAAATATTTTACTCTGAGGCAACTGTTAGTTGTATCCTTTTTGATACTTACAGGCGAAATGTGAGAGAAAAGAGAGACAGGAGAAGTAAAGAGGAGCGTAAATAAAGAAGGAGGAGGTTGTACAGAACTGAATAACATAACAGAGGACCATATTTTTATTCATAAAATATTCCAGCCATAACAGAAAGAGGCAGGCTGTTTGTGCAGGGCGGCAAGACCGCTGTCTCCATGCTGTCTCCCTCACTTCCCTCTCACACTCAACCTCTGACCTCTGACCTGGCAGGCCACAGAAAGCGTCAACACCGGATACTCACACTGTTCTGCATGCCAACTGCATGGAAGCAGGCGCACAAACACGCTCACCCCACACTACCATGAATGTTTTTTTTCGGGAGGGATCGGTCAGATGGTCAGAGTGAGAGTGAGAAAGGGAAGGGGTGTGAGAGAAGTGAAGGAGAAAAGCAGGGGAGGAGGGGAGGAGAGGAGGAAAGGAAGTTAGTAAGCAAATACTTGAGGGGGAACTTGCAGAGTTTGGGTGGAGGAAAGACGCCTCATACTGCAGACGAACTCTTTGGGGCAACATGACGTCATCCTGGAGCACAGAAAATGACAATCAAACACATATCACATGTTTATTACAGTGAGCATTCAGCATCACGTGACAACAAGTACACACTAGGGTAACTTAATATGCTGTGCGCCGTCTCTCTGAATACGTTTTTGGTGGTTTTGTATAAGATTGTGTTCTACAAACACACTACAAACGTAAATCCTGTATGACTCCGGTTATTTTTGGTCTCACAGAAATAGAAATACCGCTAAGGACAGATATGAACATTTAGCTCTTATGTACACAAATGCAAGAGAACAAATAAAAGAAGTTGGCTGTCTGCTGAGAAAGCAATCTTGTTGTTATTGAGTCTTTTATTCTTCATTTATCAGAAAAGAGTCTTTGATAAACTCTATATAACTCAAGCGGTTCTGAACAGGGATCATAAATGTAGATGTTGTGGCTGACAAAGCACTTTCAAAGACAGAGCTGCCAGTCAAGTGGTCATAAACACATAAAACCCACATATATCAAACGCTGCGCTCAGCTCATTAGTCACGCGTTGTGACAGGTCTGTCAAACAGTCACTGAGCTGCTGAGCTCTGTGTGAATGTCTCCATGTACAGCGTGTATATTTGGACAAACCAATATGATCTAATTAGTGTTGACTCACTACTGTGTGCGTGTTATGAAAAACATCTGGACGGTGAAATGAAACATGCTCTGGCTGACACACACACACACACACACACACACACTTACCGCATCCTGAAAGCACAAGTATTGTCCACAGCTCTGAGTTATTGCCTTATTCTTTGCATATCCCACTGAAAAAGAAAAATATGTTTATGTGTGATTTGTATATGCCTCTGTGTGCGAACTTCTTTCATGTTGCCATAAACTACTAAAATTAAAAACCTTCTTTGGTCGACAGCTGATCACATATCTTACTTTGATGGAGCGCAAACGTACATTACACATCTTTCTCAGCCACTTCCTGAATTATGAGCATTTTTGACAATATATTCTTAACTCGAGGTGCAAACGCTTGAGCTCTTGACCTCCTTTAACTGCCTTCACAGCATGATACTTAGAACTCTAGAAACAGACAAAGTCAGCTGTCTGTAAACACCCGACAGAAAACTGTAAAGGATCTAGTGGGAAGATGTCAGAGTGTGGGGAGTTATGAGCTCTCTCCATGAAGGAGAACAACATGAGATACGTTTGAAAGCTCGAGAAAAAGCTAGTGAGCGGACTTTTGTGCAGAATGAATTATAAAAAATGGGCACGTTTCAAAGTTTTGTTACATATTATGGACATTTGTTTCCCTAAAGAACTGTCTGATCAATTCCTGTCGTTTGTCTTCGATAGAAAATCAAATTTCTGAGGTCAAAGTTCGACAAGATAATCAACCTAAACGTCTACCAACCTCCTCTGGGTTGGGCGGAGTTGTGGCCGGAGATCACAACTGAGATGCCCCTCGCCTCCAGCCTCTCCCTCCAACCCTCCACCACTCTCCTGGAGTCATCCTAAAGAACACACACACACACACACGCACACACACACACACACACACACGAACACAGGTTGGACTTCAACTGAGGTCTCATTATTTTGAGACAAATTACAGATCTGCAAACAAACAAACTTACAGTGCTTGCGTCGTCGAAGACGGAGAGCTCCGTGGTTCCAGTGAAGTCTTGGTGTAATATGGCCTGCAGACACTCATCCAGCCAACAGGATGCGTTGTACATTGGCACGATAATACTCTGAGCACAGAAAACACAGAGACATTCGACAGTCAGTGCAACTAATGAATGCACGAGCAAGCAGCCGTGAACACACAAAGGACAATACAATCAGTCCGTTCACAGGGTTCATTAAACTGTTGCAGCAACACAGATGATTTGGGATACATTGTGAGAAAAGTGTGTTTACATTATGGTGCAAATGATCAAGTGAATTCAATAGATACAATATGCAGTGTTTACACCTAAGATGTCTCATTCAGGCTGGCCACATCCAAAAACATGCCGCTGTGCTGCTGCTCCTCCTTTAGATCAGTAACGTTATATCAATGTCAGTCCATCACCCACCACATCCACTGCTCCCCTCTCCTCCTCCTCCTCCTCCTCCCGCCCTCCTGCCTCATCTTCTGTGGTGCGGAGCCGCTTCGATGGCTTCATGTCGACCTCCAGTTCGTACCTCAGCAAGGCAACGACCCGGCCGTCAGCTGACACCCGACCTCCGTTTATCCGATTCAGTATGTGATGTGAGAAATATGTTCAATCAATTGAAGTAAACCGAATGGACGTTGAGAAAGACAGCTGGAGACGAGCAGTGACCCACGCGGGCAACACGTTAACAACAATGTCAGAAAAATACAAATGTTTTAACTGTTCTCGATGTAAAATGTATCGATGTCCACACGTGTCATCTCTCGAAAGGTGTTCTGTTCGTTTTAGTGACGCGCAAAGTAACAATTGTAGCTAGTGTGTAGTGCAAACTCGCAGCGCGCGGGCAACAGCTTCACCACTTCCGCAAACATTGAGTTCCGGACGCTCATTGGCTCGTGCAAAACACGGACAGACGCCGGATTCGCTGTAACTCACTGTCAATCATCAGGAACAGTGACGTCACGGACAGTGCGTAAAACAGCTTTCTGTCTTAGTTTATTTCTATGTGTAAAGTTAAAAAAACAACTATTTTGAACGTTTCTCTACAAAGAAAAAGTTTAATCTAAAAAAACCACATCTTAAAAAAAGTAAATTTAAGTATTCCCATTTCAAATATTGTATATTTTAACAGACATTTCGTAAAAGCGTCCCTGGCACCGTATGTGGCCATTATGTGGCATATCATTTGTGTCTTATAGTCAATATTCAGTTATGAGTAATTCTTAGCAGAAGGTCCACAGCTTTCGTCCACCTCTCATGGCCTTCATTAGCGGGTGGAGTTTGTTCAGTTCTCATGGTGATTGTTCAGTCGTTGTGAGATTTATTTCACCTGAACAGGTGGTCATATTGATGACGATTGTTATTTTAAAGATCAGTAATGAACCTTCAGGCTTAAGTATACATTTCTATTTGTTGAATGAATTTAATTGAAAACGTAAATCTGCCTTTTTACAGCATAAGAAAGTAACAAAATGAAATGTATTAAAAATAAAGAAACAAATGGATTTCATTAAACATTTAAAAACATGGTAAAAGCAACTACAAGTTATAAAAAAACAGAAGGGCAACTGTCAGTGGATATTATTGATGGAATGTTTGGAGTATTTTTAAAATTGAGTTTTCTGTTTTGCATATTTTGTTTGGTCAGACTCATTTTTGGTGACATGTGACAGAGCAGCTCTCTCTAGCTTTCCTGTAGAGTTTTGAATGGAGAACCAGATCAGTGTGTTTTTAATGTTGGCAGCTGCAGCATTGGAAGGTTTGTCTTTGTGAGCAGACAGAAAAACAGGATGGGCTGAAATATTGTTTTTGACCACATTGTTTTCCTTTTCTCTCAGAAAGGTAAGTAAATGAATACAGAGGGATAGAGAGAGATACTTAGTGTGTGTGTGTGTGTGTGTGTGTGTGTGTGTGTGTGTGTGTGTGTGTGTGTGTGTGTCTGTCTGTTCCCAACCAATAGCAGGTAGCGGGTTCAGTGCAGTGTGTATGTTTTGTACTGTTGCACCAGCTCCAGGTACTTTATTAGTATGTGTGAGTCATTCTGAGTGACTAAGATACGTTTGAATGAACAATAGCTGTAGTTACTGTAACAACAAAATGAACAAACATCACAGCACTTAGCTGAAGCAGAGATGATCGAACAATTCATGATTCGAGTCAGGAATGAAACAACACCAGTCCTGGATTATGAAACATCCAAACTCTGTTAGATCTACTACTTCCAGACAGAGAACAGACGGCCCCCTATTATTGTCATATTAATCCTCGTTTTTTATTTGTGTCCTGATAAAACAATTCATGTACAATAAAAAGCCTGGAGGAACGTAAGCTGCTTAACGTCAATGTTATCTTTAATGAAGTCCTGAATTGTATTACACACAGACACACAATCCTCCTTAATCGGGGCACCATTCAGACAGGATGTAGTTAACAGATCTCGCTGGAGAATAATTGTTCCCACATTGCAGCAGCATCTTAGTCGGACAAAGCTTAATTTATCACTCTGAATGCTTCTTTAAACTGGACGAACGCCTCACGACAGGCCAGGAACAACAGCTCCAGGGGGGCAACAGACCAGGGCCGAGATCAGGAATTACTTTCTCATGCTTGAGTGCTTGATAAATGGGATCAAGAGAAAATCTGGCCTGACTGTACAGATGCAACAGTGCAAAGTTCTTACGGAAGTAGCTAACAAAAGGTATTATGGGATTTTTTTTGTTACTTTCTTTCAAAGCACTGGCTGATCGAGATTGATTGTTGAAGAGAGCTATGCACGATTAACCAAAAGCTAATTATATTACCCAGATGTTTCACCCTCAGAGGTTCAGGTTGAGGTTATGACTCCCTCGTCTGACTGTGGATGTTAAGTTTTCCCAGGTTCTTGCACTGCAGGTCCACAGGGCCTGATATTGTTTTGCAACAAAACTTATTCCACACTGCACTCTCACAACCGTTCGACCCCTTCCTCCACAAAATCAACACCACATGGCGACGTTGCAAATCAGATGTGCGCACGAGTTTGGTTGCTGTATCTGGAGGTCGAGACCAGCAGATGCTTAGATCTGTGATCAGACTGCACTTGATTTTGTTTGGACAGAAATGCCAGACATTAAAGAGAAGGGAAGTGTGTCAGTGTGTGAGGGGGTACCGGCATGATTGGATTTCCTTCATTCATTTAGTCTTGCTTTGGAAATCGTGCGTAATTGACCTTTTTAAAAGAAAATGGAAATGCCATGTTTTACCAGCAGCAGGGCCGAAGGATGGCATTATCAGTCTTTCTTTCATTTTCAATTAATTGTCATCGGAAAGAAGACTCAGCAGTGTGAGGTAATTTACCTTGTTATCTCACTTTAACAGGACACTGGGTTTCTCCTTGATGTATCTGTATAAGCAATGCATGTTAAAAAATATTCTTTCTTACCCGCTAGAGAGAAAGATCAGCTCCCTTTCTTTGGAGAATGTTAGGTGTAGCCCTCATCAGTGACAGCAGCTGCTGTAGTGCTTGGCTTAATAAACACACACACACACACACATGGCAGAACACCAACTGTTACAGTGCAACACCTCAACAGTAATTGCTGTGGTACAACACTGCTGTTTACAGCACTACTTGTGTGTGCTGGCTGCTGCTTTGATTCACCAACAGACGAGTAATTATATCCATTTTGTATCCTGGGTGTAAAATAATCACTAAATAGCGAGAAAAAAAAGGTACAAGGTGCAAAAACATTGTGTCAACAGCACCATCTAGTGGTCGATGAGTGAAATGGATCTTATCAACTCCATCTTCTCTTGAGCACCAAAAGTACAACGTCAATTAAAACGCTTGCCTTGGTTCCTGTTGTCAGTGTGTCGCTTTCTTAATGAATGGTGGTGAACAATTATAACCTTTAATAGCAATTTAAATTCATTCAACCTTTGATGTTGTTTTTGGTAGTGTGTGGTCAAAGAAAGAAAGACGCCCTTTCAGTCCCAATCTCACAGAGACGTTGAGTATGGGTGCTTTTATGTCCCCCAGAAAATTGACTTAATAATATTATCTAACAAATGTCAGTGTGACAACTTGAAAGGGATGTAGTGAGGAACCTACACAGAACTATCAGTGTTTTGTAGCAGATTTAGCTCATTGTTTAGCAGCTCTCATAGCTTCGTTTTCAGCCGCATCAGGCAGCTGTTTTCAACGAAAAGCTCTAAAAACCCACTGTACACTAAGGTTACCTGCTCAGCACCGAACAGCAGACACAGGTAGAAGAAAGTGAAAATTGGAATTATTTTTTGTAATTTATCTCAGAAACTAAATACAAATATTTTGTGATGTTAATCCTAACTCATATTTTACACTTTCTGATAATGTTGTATATTCGTATCTTTACTCCAAAGAGTGTTGTGTTTTTACTGCCTGATGTTCAATTCTAGCGTTTTTGTTTTGATATTATAGAGCCCATTAATTGACTTTTGCTGAAGAGCAGCAGTGTGGCCAAAACCGTAACAATTATACGATAATGCTGAATGATAAAAGAGAACGAAACAGTTGCACAAGAAGAAAGAAGTATTATCTCAGTAATCCTGATTGCTACGACTGCTAAAATGAAAGGAATAATTCATCAATCAATCATATGAACACTTCAGAAATTATAATTGAAACACCGTTCATTTATTGGCATAATATTTTATAATACTTTATAGGTATCATTCTGTTAAATACATATGTACTACGCCTGTGTGTATCTATAGGTAGGCATTTCACATTCAGGTTCAGTGCAGTGATGATCTAACATCTCTTCTAGGCAGATTCTTTTGTCCCTGACACAGAAGTGAACTCGGAGCAGAGGAGAGGAGCTACTGCTTATCAATACGTCAGTTCATCGTCTGTAATCATTTAATCTTATTTATATTCATCATTCTTTTATACCTCACTCCTCCTTAATCTATTCTCGTCCGCACTCACTTTTATGCTGATATCTGAAATGTCGTTTTATCCGTAGACTAATGCCTCTCACTTCACTAAGGTTGAATTTCACTGGAGGAGGGACAGAGCAGTCTCCCTGAGGTCCTCCTTTACGGCACCAATATGAACCAGCCGGAAATGCATTGTGGGTCAGCTGTAGAGACAGGCACGCGGGTCAGATAGGTTACAATCAGTTTAGGTCCAGATTGAGACCGTAGGGTAAAGCTTAAGCTGGTTTAGTCTAGTTTGAAACCACCTGGATCCTTTTGAGGCTACTACCACAAATAAGTAACTTTCTTAGGACCAGAGACTGTTGAGCTTGCTCGGTAACAAGTTAATGCAAAATAGATATCATTGTGTACATGTAGGGAGGAATATGTGAGTCAGTTAGCTCTTGCACAGTGCTGAATGCTGTCTTGATGATTCAATTGTGCCAACAAAGCTCAAGATACTATTTGACTCATCAGAAAAAGAGGATTTATTTGAAGAACTAGTCTCAGGTGCTCAGGAGAATAGAATAGTTTGGAGTCTCGGGGGCGGGATGCATTCATGCTTTCGTCGGTGAAGCAGCAGCGGTAAGGATCCTTGTGAATCTTGGTGGACAATCAAAGTATGTGGCTTCATTACAATCTTCTAAAGGAACAGTTCTGGCTCTGTGGTCAAAGAGTGCTTGGAGTTGTGACTGTTGATGGGGAAAAGGCATCAAAGGGGCTGTTGAGAGACACCCTGTTAGTTTGGTGGTGTGTGCATGTTTGTGTCCACGCACCCTTAAGTGCGCCTGAGTGCATGTGTGTGTATATGTGTGAGTTAGCTTTTCTTCAAGAGTTCAGGGTAAATAGCAGCTGGTGTGGCTTCAGACAGACACAAATACATCCAGTCCGAGTTTTGTCCGCTTCAGGTGTGCACAACGACATCGGACCAGGATCCAGTTCAGGCTCATTTAAACTAGTCTCGTTGTAGTCGGCATTGATTAATCCAAAAATAATCCATTCTGTCATCTAACTCTGCAGAGCTTGGAAGATGCAGGCGGTCTCAGAGGAAGGGGTTGTGGCTGTGTGTCTGTGACTGGGAGCGCTGCGCCGGACGAGGAGAAAGGGGGAGCAGGGGCTGTGGGAGGTTGGAGGGAAGGTCCAGGAGTCCGGCGGGAGGTTGTGTGAGAGAGGAGGGGAGCATGGGTGGCTGGTGGGACAGAGGGAGAGGCAGCGACGGGCTGTAAGAGAGCACGTGGGGGGGCAGTGGGGATGTCGAGGATGGTCGCATTTGGTTGAGGGTGAGGCGAGGCTGATCGCAGTGGAAGGGGTTGGTGGGAGACGGAGCACTCAGACCTGAGAAGACAGAGTTGAGTGAGTGGAAACGTTTCAACAATATCACAATAATGTGCCTGTGAGTACAGCACATGAGTTAAAGCTATTTGTTACCTGAGAGGAAGGGGTTGTTGTGCATCTTGCTAGGGGGGTTGGAGGGTATCAGAGTGTCTAAATTGACCAACGAGGCCCCCGTAGGTCCCAGGAAGGCCTCTGGAGTTCGACACATGCGTGTAAGTGGGGCGCTGAGCGGGGGTGCCAGCCGGGACAGGTCAAACATCTCCGGGCTGGACGACTCTCGACCATTTACCTGCGGTTTCACCGGAGGGTCCATCCCAAATGGATCTGGCCTGGAATCTGCTCCATCAAATGGGTCAGAATCTGCCTTTACCCCAAACAACTCTGCATCTGCATCAGGAACAGAAAACATAATAGTGTGTGTACTATCAGGCTACCTGCTGTCCATGGTGCTGGAGTGAGAGTTTTTCCTTTCCAATCACTGTCAATGCAGGAGACTTATTGCTTCTGTAAGATCAAAATGTGCAGTCAAAGCCTCAGAACTTCTGTCTTGTACTACACTACCTGTGGGACTAGCAGGCTCAGGGGAGGACACTTCTGGAATCTGCTTTTTAGGATTCTCCTCTTCCTGATCAGCAAACGGATCTGTCCCATCACCACCTGCTTATCGAAACATTATCATCTTAGCCAGTGTGCAGATCCTAAAGTTTTTATTGACAGATATTGAAAACTACAATGTATATGAAACTACAACGTATATGCATACTGATGAGGCTGGTGTTTCTCAAAGGTACCTCTGTCTGTTGGGCTGTCCCATGCATGATTAACAGGACTGGAGGAGACAGGCACAGCTTCCCAGGGACTTGTGCGTGAGTCAGCACATGGTGCCCAGGGATTGGACGCATTGGAGGATGAGGGAGGGGCTGTCCAAGGGCTACCAATCACAGGAGTGCTGGAGTGGACCGCTGTTACGAGAGGCAGGCGGTAAACACAAAACTCAGTGTGAAGCATTAGAGACAAACAACCTAACAGAATGTGTGTGTGTGTGTGTGTGTGTGTGTGTGTGTGTGATGAGCCACCCACCTACAGAGTCCCAGGGGTCAGAGGTGATGTCATCGGCGGGAGGCGCAGAGTTCCAAGGGTCACCCGGCTGACGTGGGGCCTCAGATGAGAGGCCAAAAATGTCCACTAGGTCCAGCATGGCCGACTACAGAGGGAGACAAAAACCTTTCTGTGACTCTGTGCCAAACATTCACAGGTTTGTGTTACTGGATGGGGTTTGAACCATGGAAGATGAAACATATCCAACCCTGTTGAGATCTATTGAGGAGAGAATAGGGACTGATACGGTTATTGTGTAAATCAAGCAGAACAAGACATTATGAAATATTTTCCTCATGCTGTGTTTCACTGTCCAATAAAAACCACGTGTCTCCAAAATTGATATTTTTTATTTTTCAGATGATTGATTGTGTTTCTTTATGGTTTGGTGACTTACCAGGAAAAAGTTAGATCACTTAAGCATGAATGAATGTGCAGAATGTCGTGAAAACACTCATTTATAACAGCAGGAGCGATGTAAGCGTCCTTGTGGATGTGTCAGGAATTACGTCAGTCAGAGAACCAGTGAGAAGGTCTATGGAGCACCTGAAAGTACCAGGATTTCTATGATAAGCAGTGTAATATGACCAATCACAAGCCATGGGGACCTTTACATGAGACAGCTGGTGACTCTGATTGGCTTGTTGACAGGCCAATAAGTAAAGGAGCTGGTGTGCTACAAGATAAGGAGTATGCTTTCAGGGAGACGTCATGCTGAGCTCAAGGTTAGACAAGACAAAGTCATTATCATTCAGCAGGCACCTCTTTCTCCTCTCTCAGCTCTCTACGGTTTCTCTCTCAAACCTCCCTCATTATACGGATCTATGTCTTTTTGTCTCATTTTCCTCCCTACCCCAGTCTGCGCTATAAACTCTAAATGCCTGCCAAAAAACACCTATAAATGCACCTGCCCACCTCTCCATGCAAACACACACTCGTGTAGCATGCAAACGCCCACACACGTCCTGTACAGCACACACACATCTTTATAACTCACCTCCTGCGTCCCCGACTGACTCTCTCTCCTGCTCTCATCCAGCGCTTTCTGTAACAGAGACTCGTCTCCTTGGCGACAGCACTGCTCCTGCAGGGGCGGCATCGTGACATCATCAACATTATCGCAGCCGCTATGAGCACGGACGCGCACACAAACGTGCACACACGCGCAACCGCGTTAGTGAAACGGTGTTTGGTTGGCTTGGCACCCAGCAAAACTAAGGCAGCGCTGGTGGCTTTTTTGTGTGCTGATGAAATATTTAGTTGAGAGAGATAACACAGAGGATGTTTTATGGACGTTTAAACATTACTCGTGTGAGAAAAGAGAAATGTGTGTTTGGGAGCCAGTGGTCCTGGACGGGAGTAAGCTGGCTAAAGAAGGAAAAAGTTAGGAAGAAATTCATTGGATGGCCACAGATCAGCATTTTAGTTAAGCTGCGTGAACTAGAGGGTTAATAAATGCTGACACTGAAGGGTAGGAAGAGGCGTGTTTTTCTGTGTGTGTGTGTGTGTGTGTGTGTGTGTGTGTGTGTGTACCTGCTCATGCTCCTTTCGGCAAAGGCTTAAATCAGTTGTGTGTCTTCATCCATCTCTATGGTAACAGGGGATGGAAGGGCTAGCTAGATTAAAGTGGGCGAATGTTCAGAACGCTTGTAACAACATTTTCCTTATTGGAATCATCAAGAGGCAATGAGACATGTGAGGAAGAGTGTGTGTGTGTGTGTGTGTGTGTGGAGGGAGAGTATGCTGTCCCACTAGAAGAGCTAAAGGAGATTACACATTATCATAATAAGTGTGTGTGTGTGTGTGTGTGTGTGTTGTTTTACCTTCTGACTCTCCTCCCTGCTCATGGCTAAAGCCAGCTGGAGCTGCAGCTCCTCCTCGCCGCTGGTCTGCGGTCGAGCCTGCTCCAGGTCTGAAGCGGCGCGAGGTGACGAGGACGAGGCTGCAGAGGGAACAAGCGAGGGAGTTTGGGGGAGGAAGCAATGACGGTGCTTGAGGAGTTATGGTCAGAATCTGACGTGAGGATGCATGAGTAGACGCATATAGAGACTGGAGCACAGGAAGTGTGGGGCTGACGTGAATATTTTCAGGCCTATGCTGCAGTATTGATAATCTATGTGGAGGATTGTCCAAAGTGCTGGGCTACAGTGCAAAAGGCATTTCATTAGGGATCAGCCTGAATACAGATATATAGATTTAAATACCCAAATACTCACAGTTAAAGGAGGATGGAGAGCCTCTGGAGCGGCTGAACTCCTCCCCGTACAGCACCGCCATGCTGGGCTGGCTTGTGCGCCTGCCTGGATGGTAAGACGGAGGTATACCTCCATACACACCCCCGCCCCCTCCACTGCCTCCCCCGGCCATTCGCTCCTTGGTCTTTAGGGCTTGACTCCTCTCCTGGCGGAGCCGCTCCTCGTCCCGGAGAAGACACACCAGTTGGCGGGCCTTTTCTCTCACGTTGGCCCCCTGATCCCTGCCGTCACGGTCCACGTACTGGAAGTCACGTAGCGTCTGAACCACACATAAAGAAAATAGACATTTGAGGATGTTTTAGAAATCAACTTGAACTTTCAAGTTTACAAGATGCAGGAAAACCTCAATAATGTGATCCTCAGGAATGTGAAGATATCTCAGTTTCATAAGAAAAGAAAACATAAACTAAGAGTTTATACGAGGGAATAACTGTTTGATTTAGTTTTTTTGTTTTTTTTAATGGACTCAAGTAAGAGTAGTGGTTGCCAAGGTAACAGCTAGAGATGATCTAAATGAACAACATACAATAAAGAGGATCTGTCCTCGAGGCGTTCAGATTGCTGATGTTCTCCTCTTGTTGCGGTCCACTACCTGAATAGTGAAGGCGTTCTCACGGCATTGTTGGGCCACTCTCTCTGATCCCGTCTTCAGCAGGTAATCCAACAGAGTCAGGGCCTGTAATCAAAGTGCTGATTACCACACTGACACTCCAAAACACAAAAACATTCATTTTAATGAATCGATCTACAGCGTAGAGATACGTCCAACGAGATGGACACAGAAAAGAAGGGTATGAGCCACGTTAAAGGCTCTGCTGGGCTGCACTTCAGCTAGATTCTAATGTCAGCATGCTAGCGTGCTTACAATGCTAATGCTAGGATGTCAGGTATAATGTTGGTTTAGCCTGTTAGCATGCTAACATTTGCTAATCAGCACTAAACACCTAGTACAGCTGAGGTTGTTAAGAACACCATCAACAACTAAAAGGTCAACCTCATGGTGGGCCGAGAGTAAACGTCACAGTATCATCAAAGTCAGCGAGATGGATATCTGTACCAAATGTTGTGCCAATCCATACATGTAGATGTTGAGATATTTGATAGGAAAAGTAAAGACTTTGACCTGCTGGTGGCGCTAGAGGAAAAGTCAGTGGATCAGCATAGTTGACCACAAATGTCAACGTCAGAGAAGAATCTTAAATGAATTTGTAAAGCAGGAAAAAGGTGAAGAGAGGGAAGTGGTGGTGGGTGATCAGAGAGAAGCTACAGCAGAAAGTAAGAGAAACACATACACTGAGGATTTGTAATTGGTAAATGGACTTCCGACCACTCAAAGTGCTTTAACACTACGTGTCATCATTCACCCATTCATACACTGACGGCAGGGGCTAAAATGCTGGGTGCCACCTGCCCATCAGGACTCTAAACTAATCATTTATACGCATTCATAGCAATTCGGGGTGAAGTGTCTTGCCCGAGGACACATCGACATGAGCGGAGCCGGGGATCAAAACCGCCGATGCTCTGACTGAAGGACGACCCTGCTCTGCAAGTGATTCACAGTCATCCAATTAAACTGAGAAGTCAGATCTGACAGAGATCTTTCATGAGGTCACCTTGTAGACGTGTCTCCAGTTCTTGCCGCTGTCGTTGAGGCGTTTCCACACCATGCCCATGACCTCGGCAAACGCCACCACGTTGAAGGTCAAGTCAGCGATCTCCGTCATGAGAGACGAGGACGGGCCCCACGGGTCGTTGGAGGTGGCCTCGCGAACCTACACGGCGCCAGCAGAGGAACGGTGATGTCCATTTCCATTCATGTTTACATTTCATGCATATAATGTTATTTCTCACCCGGAGTAACAGTATCATAAACAAAGTGAGAAATTACAAGTGGCAACGCATATTTATGACAGAGAAGTCCAGAAATAAGAGACAGTAGAGAGTTTGGTTTTGATTCTAAATACCTTGATCTCCGCTTCTGAATAGTTGTGCACAATGTTCTTCACCTGCCGGCGCAGGGCTGAGGTTGTCATGGTGACAGGTGATGGAGGATGCGGAGGGATAGAAAGTGGAGAAAACAGACAGTCAACAGGTGAAGAGAGGGGCTGAAGGGGATGATGTGGACCGGAGGAGGAAAGGAGGAGAGGGGGGATGCTGTGGCAAAGAAGGCTCCTCTTCTCTGTCAGGGGTTATAGGACGCCCCTGTAAGAAAGAGACAGAGACGATATATGAATACAAATAAAATCTAATCTGTCATTCTCACCCTAAAAGGTTTGATCTAATTGGCAAATTAAAAAGTCCCCAACCTGCTGATGGGACATTATGAAACTCAACAATGTTTGGAACTGTTCCCAATGCATTGGGATGTAAACAGTCTAATGTTGCTATGGATTCATGGAGTAGCGCTGTGCGCTATGTTCAACTGGAGGCAGCATAAAAAGTCTGCCGAATTATCTATCAGCAGCTCCTGTTTGGAATGTGCCCGTTGGTGCACAGACACCTGTCACTGAATCACTTTGAAACTGAAGAAATCTTTTAAACGTGATGATTCTCAGGCAAGTTCTGGAGCTTTTTTCCTATGATTTCGGGCTCTTATAATGACAATGCTAACATGCTATCTTTAGCAGATATCATAGTTTTGTAGGTATTTGGTCAAAGACTTGGACAAGTAGCAATTTGGACCTGATGCTGCCAAAGTTATCACACTTCATCCTGAAGGGAACATAAACGACGTTGCCATCCACAGGGCCAGATCTATAGCATGGCTAAGAACAACGAGTCAAGTTAAAGGCTGCGCTCGTTGATGTCTTTCTTTGTTATTTACGTCAATATGAAAACACTGAGCAATACAAACAATGACATGATGACTGAATGAGTAGCTAACAATTGGTCCCCGCTTAGGAAGTAGGTCGTACAAAAGCTTTGGCACTCAGGTGTCTGAGGAAGCCTCTTGGCAGCTTCATTTATTCAGGCCAACACTCACACACATCCAACCCATTTTCTCCTACAAATTCATATTTCAGAGAGGACACAAGGGAATCGATTAATGGTTCCTGTGATACTTCAGTATCAGAACAAAGCTGTGATGGTCAAACGTTAAGGTTATTGTTCAACATTTCATGGGCTGGATCAGATCATTCGGATGATTTTGGGACCGTTTGATGTGATCAGTATTGTGATGTGGGTTGATACGGATGCTTTGCCTGTGGTTAGCTGGCTTTTCACTGTGAGTGGCATTGTGGTCTTTTTCGAAACATGAAATAATATGTGTACTTGGTTTACTCCAGATGTAGATGTTGTTCCCTTTCTCTGTCAATATCCATGTGCTTTTCTGGATTCCTGTTCCTATATGTTTTAGGGAAATCCTAAAGTTATTACTTATGTGTAACTTATGGGGGTACAAGTCCAAAAAGTGCAAGAATCATGCAATTACATCAACTTCAATGTCACTGTCCACTGCTGCTCCACAACAGTTCACAAAGGCTGTCACGCTGAAACAAGTCACAGGATGCCGAAAAGCAAACATCAGCAGAAGTGCAGAGGAACTAAGATGCACACAGCAGGGACACAGAAAGAACACTCTGAGAGGAGGACGAGGCTGAGAGTGTTTGTGTGCATGTGCAGGGGAGGGAGAGGGAGAGATAGACTGAGAAAGAGACAGACAGACAGACAGGCAGAGACACAGACAGAAAGAGAGAGAGAGAGCGAGAGCGAGAGAGAGAGAGAGAGAGAGAGGCAGAGACAGAGAAAATTAAGGGCATGAAGAAGAGAGTGAAGCTCAGCAACTTCAACCAGTATCACCTTTCTGCAGGATCATCTTCAGCTTTGTACACAAACACACACACACACACACACACACACACACACACACACACACACACAAAGGTTATCAAATGCTGCTGTTGTCTACCGCAAGGTGTTTGAAACTGTTTTAAACCCTTTACCTGATCCTCACACCACGAGTTTAATGTTGTAGAACTACTTCACACTGTACTTTAATCTATAGCAATGCATAATGTTTTATAAAATTATGTTTTTATGTGAAATCTTTCTCTTAAAAATAACAAGTGACAATAGCTGCTTAGTAAAAACTACAATATTTTCCTCTGAAATGTAGTGGCATAGAAGGATAAAGTATAGCATCATACGGAAATACTCAAGTAAAGTACACGTATCTCAAAGTTGTATTTCAGTGCAGTACTTGGCTTTTTGAATTGTACCGTCTACACTATAAGTCTCTTCTGTCAGCAATGCAACCAGCTGGCCACAGAGCATCCCAACAGATAGAAACAACACTAACAATCATTTGAATGAGTCTATTTGAGGTGCCAATAAGCTTCTTAGGAAAGGTAAAGATACCATGACAACAATACCCATGTGTGCAACAATGAATGTGCACAAACACCCTTTTGTGTTCTTAAAGTTCAAGGGTAAAATCCCCCCCTGAAGTATAAGCAACAAGACATTCTTGAAAAAGTGAATAGCTCATTTTTAAGTGTGAATTTCATAAAGTCGCATGCAGAGACAGACGGCACAGTTGACGTCATCCAGGGACCAACTGGGAAGTTGTGAGTAATGCAACGACTCCTTCGACACAATGACAGCCCCCGTGGTGGTTTTACTTGAATAGTTTCTGATTCATAGCAATGAGCTTCACATTCAAATGACTCATCTGGGTGTAATAACTTCAAAAATATTTTTTGATGGACCGTCTCCTAGAAGAGTCACCTGATGACATCACCAACCCAAGTCGTGATGCCCAACTGCAGCGAGACAGTTGTCTGTAGAGACCGTCACTAACTTCAAATACTTCCTTGTTTATGAACTGGCATGACCCGGTCTGATGCGCCAACATGCTTAAACACAGAGGACCTACGTCAACACGTCGTCCACATTTCTGGATGCGCATGCGCGATGTGACAGCAGGTGTAGGCTACTGTATATTTCAGGTGGCGATGGAGAGGAGGAGGGCGCTCATGGTGGGTCTACAAAATGCATTACTCAACCTCCCCACCGCCACACACACACACACACACACACATACACACTCTTGCGGTGGATTCCCTGCGCGAGCTGCCATGTGTGGCACAGATTCACGTGCAAGGCCAGCTGCCACGACAGTTGCGTGTTACGTGTCGGCAACACAGCTCCCACATACACTGTAGCTGCATGTAGCCTAACGTTAAATATACCCAGTTATACTGAGAGTCATTGGCACAATAAACAGCCAGGGAACTAACCCCCTGGTCGTCTCAACGTGCCGCTTACCTTGCCCATTGCTCATCTCTCGCCTTGTCCGCTGAGCATCCTCGCCTCTCCGCTGTCTCCTCCCCAAGTCCCGGTAATATATCCCCCTCCGCTGGGATCAGCAAAGCAGGGCAACCACGATTCTCCCCTCCGCTCCTTTATCCGGCAAAACGCGAGAGAGGAGCCGAACAGTGAGTGTTTCCTTCAATGGGAATGTCGGCGTCTGAACCCCCGGCCTACACCCTGGATGGATGCGAGCCGCTCGGGCAGGCAGTGGTGAAATCCGCATAGGACGAGGATAAGCCACAGCACACGGCTCGCTCGCTCCCTCTCTCACTCACTCGGGCAGCCTCATCCACACACGCATACGGCACCGGCAGGCCAACGCACGCATAGACCATAGAGCATGCACAATCACAACGGTGAGCGTAAAAGAGAGGCAGAGGCGCGCTTCGTTTGCAGAGTCAGCGATACTGTTAACCTACTATCGCCCGCTGATGCGAGTGTGACAGTGTGACTGACACATGATGAATATCACTGCACATCCACGGTGCCAGAAAAATAATCAGTTTATTGATTTCACAAGAAAAGAGGGTACAAAACAGAGATTGGGGAATCCTCCGTGACACGTTTTAGTTACATTTGGTTGTATATATTCAGTGGGCTCCTGTGCCTGCCTCTCTCACATGTTACTAGTGTGCGAGTCCTGTTCATCGTCCTCGTTGAGCTCGTCCATCAGGTCACACAGGTTGTCCACCAGGTCTTCCATCAGTGCATAAACCTGTCAGGTAGATAAATATCGATGAATGTATTTACAGGATGTACAGGACTGTGGAATACCTTTAGGAGGAGTGATTTAGTGGTTCGTAAAGTTGGGGGACTCACGAGAGACAGTAGTGGTCATAATTAAAGAAGAAGAGGCAGAGACATCATGACTTTTAATCTCTAGTATGGATCAAGCTCCACAACAAAGAATCCTACATTTCCCATGCAGCCGGACAGTGTCTTTCATCAGACGTGTCTCTTAAATGTCTACTCTGTCTTTCATCAGACGTGTCTCTTAAATGTCTACTCTAAGTCTCGAGCCCGGCCTGAGATAACATTGATGACATCATCAGGGTAACTTTCCCAAACTTTAGAAATCTTCTCCAGAGTCAAAGCAGATATTACACATCTGTTGCCACAGGTTAGTATTCCTCGTGACGAGTACGCCGGACTATCGTGAGAGCCCCTTTAAAATAAAAACTGTACGATTAAAAGACTTGCCTTTTTGTGCAGGAGCCTCGTGTAAACGTCCTCCACCACTACACTTGGAGGTTGTGGACTGACGCTGCCTTGGGGGACATCAGTCAGCGAGGTCGTTTCCTTTGCTAGCTTTTCCCTACTGCGTTTCCCCACGTCCTCCCTACTGCGTTTCCCCACGTCCTCCCTTCTTCTCCCCTTCTTTTTGCTGTCCTGGAGGACGGACAGATAGAAGACAGACTTTACTGAGCACACTAAGTGTTTGTGTGCATCTTATGTCATGAAAAATGACCTTCCGGATATTTCACAGTGTTTAATATATTGGATGTTATGTGCTGTTTGAGGTATAGCTGTGTGTATACGTGCACCACAGATGGCTTGGACTGGTCTATAGGTGCTATTAACTCACACCCTGGATGCACAGTTGGAGAGCAGGTGCACATTTTCACACAGTATGCTGTTACCATGGTTCCCTGTGAGTACCTTACTATGACTCAACCATCACACAGAGGAGAGCAAAACACACAGACACACAGACACGACTCTTTCTAAATTTAATATCACGTCTTTCTATTTTGACCATGATGGCTGTCAATGGAGACATTAGGAGAGAGACGTCGTCACATAAACACGTCGTTTATGTGACGACCAACTGAGCCACCTGGATGCAACACAGTCAGCATCCTCAATCCCAGCGTGCACGATGACATTTGCTTAAATTCAGATTCGTGAATAGGACGGGATGAGGATGGGTGCAGGAAAACAATCATCTGCATTCAGATGGATGGGAACTCGGGGAAAGCTTTTGCTCATTATCTGAATCAGTCACACAGCAAAAAACATGAATGGCCACAACCGTATTCCATCGCTCAGCGACTATAATGAGTTCTCTGGGGGACAAAACACTGGATGGAGAGGATTAGCTTCCTACACTTAGTGAGAGGACTGAATGTGGAATGACTCGTTAACCCCTGCATGTCAGATGGTTAGCCATGCACACACACACACACACGTGCCCACAACTGTGCATACAGAGGCGTGAATTAGTCAAAAAACACTCAAAAGTATTATTACACAAATGGTTACACAGTTGTATTAGGTGACGCAGGAGCTCTTCCTATAAATTCAACCAAGCAGACAATCACACATGACACATAACACATTGTTTCAGAAAACTAGCCAGCAGAACATACACCTGTAGGTATATGCCTTAGTGAGAAGCAGGCAGTGGGTGGCCGGGTAGTGAGGAGGCGGTCTATAGTAACAAGACATCAAGCGCTGTCTTGTTGAATGGCAGATGAATGAATGACGAACTGACAGCTTGTTTGAAGTTGTGAAGTAGCGCTTCATTCATGCTCGTAAACACTTTTGAGTCTGCTGCCACTCAGTGGCAAAACATTTTAAAATAGCCCGTCACTGTATTAACAAAAGTGAGTCATCTACACAAACACTGACGCCTTTTCTCCCCTCACCTGCACTGGTTTTTCAGTTAATGCTGACTGGGACTCCCTTTTGTTGTCATCTTTAATTGTGGCGCTCGCCCTACTCCTCTCCTCTGTAGCAGCTGCTCCTCCCTTTTTCTCACTCTTCCCATCTTTGTTATCGGCCACATCTGCGATGTAATAACACAGCAGTAAGCATGATGAATCGTCACCAATATATGTCTGATTGAAAGTCCGTGAGTCTCACCAGCATCAGCGATCGGGGGTTCCTCCTTTTTATCGATCCATGTGTCTTTCTCTGGGAGGCCCTGCAGGTGTCTGAGCATCATGGCCTCAGCAGCCATCGTGTCAAGCAGTTTCCTCCACAGCTGCTGCCTGCAGGGGGCACCACACACTACAATAACCCGTAGGCTTACCACATCAAGTGTGCAGGTGTGGATCATGAACTCATATCACATCATATCAAGATGCCATGACAGAGATGCTAAATGAGACACTGGTGTGTTTATGCCTCACCCTATAGCTGCTGCTGTGAGCTGGAGGCGATTCAGTTGAGAAGGTTCAGAAAGCTGCAGAAGCAGGGAGTTGAGCTGGGCCAGGCTCTTCTCCTGCGCTGACTCTTGCTCACACAGAGACAGCACAACCTTCAGTAGAGAATAAATAAATGGACAAATATGTTATGTTTTTAAAGCATCATCATGGTATAACATTCTACAGAGAGGTGTGCAGTGCATTCAAAGAGGCCTGTGGATCAACCTGCTAAATTAACTGCTACTTGAATTTATATTTTTTGCACTGACCACGTTTTATCACGCACCGTAACCTCACATAATGTCTATACCTGTCGGAGCGTATGGACAGAGAAGTCCCAGGAGCGTTCCGGATGCACTTCTTGCCACAGTCTCTTTAGCTCCTCCACTGGCTGATGAAGATACGGCAACTACAACAATGTACAGAGCAGTTATTAATGTCACGCTCCAGGATGATAATCATCACTGATAGTTATCCTCCCGTTATTGTCTATCATTAGTTAATATGTTACCGTACATTATGACGGCAATAATAGAATTGTGGATCAACATCAAATCCAGGTTGGGAAGGGGGCAGCTATAATTAGTAAAATGTCAAAAAGAGCAACACTGTGAATGGACCCATTAGCGGGTCATCCTCTCACATTGAGTGAGGTGGTGCGACTAACACTGAACACAAACACTCTGTACAAAGAAACATGTCTGTTCATCAGTGAGACATGAATTTGGAATATAAGTTTGACAGGATCTTTCTCTGTAGGCAACGCTGAAGTCACAAGGATACCACAAAAAACCCTCCACTGATCACTAAGAGACGTGTGAGATGCTTTAAGGACATTACCTCGGGGTTCTTGCTTAAAAACTCTTGCTCTTCAGTGACATAGAGTTCTGCGGGAGAGCTGGGTCTCTCTGGAGTGTGAACCCCCAAAAGCACCTCGTTCACAATCGACAGACACATTTTTTCCGTCACTCTCTCTTCCAGCTTTGTCTGCTCGTGCACACACAACAGAAACACAGACAACAAAAGAATGGGTTTCTGGTCATGGGAGCCTTAGTTCCATCTGTCCATGCGTTTTTTTCAGACACACAGTTCAATTGTACACAACCTCTATGAAAAGCTTCTGGGCTGCGGTCTTGTCCTGGTACAGAGCCACTCCCCTCAGTGTGACCTGCATGGAGGCTCCTTGCAGCAGCAAAGGGTGGGTGTTGAGCTGCCACAGTTCAGTTTGGATGCCTGGCCTCTCGGACTTAAACATGAACTCAACCTGCTGGGTGACACCGGGACGGATCACGCCTGGATGGGAGGGGAAGCAAACATTTAAAGCAGGATGGCGCGTTGCTGTGCTGGTTGAAAGATACAGTATGATGGGCTTATGAAGTGAGGTGAGGCAGCAGGTGTCTGGTAATGTTTGTGTGTACCAGAGGAGGAGTTGAAGTAGAAGTGCAGACTCTTTGTTCGTGATCGCAGGTTAGGAAAGCTGTGTGTCACGGGAAGCTGCTCCCAGCTGTAGAAGACGGCTGTGCTGCCCTCATTGTGCAGCTCCAATTGGGAAGAGGCTGTTTCTCCAGTCAGGGCCTGAAAGATCAATCTGGCACCGATTCCTACTTCTCCCTGAACAAAGAGTGAAGGAGAGAGAGAAGGTGACGCAAATCAAAGCAAGACGGATCTCAAGTGTCAAACGCAGGAACGCAAACAACACCAGAAGAACACTTCGCGCATGAGATGAAAGAGAGGGACGAATAGATCAAAAGTTGCAAACTAAATCCTGCACGCTGTTTAACTTGCAAAAGTACATTTATTTGCGACGTTTCGGTGCTAGACCCATCATCAGGCGAATGATTTGTAAGAATGAGGAGACATCTTAAATAGGAAGGAGACTCTGTTGAACATTGTCATGATTTGAAATTCATACACGCCGACCAACCTTCTTTGTAAAGGGCGTTGCGTACCTGGTTAGTCGTAGAGTTTCCTGTCCAGCTAGCAAGCTGACCACAGAATCTTAAGGCAGGAATGAGCAGAGCATCTGACCGAACATCATCAAACTGTGCCAGTGGATCACTGTGGAAGACAATGAGACTGCAGAAGTAGCACTCCAGTTAGACAAATAGTGGATGAGTCAGTCAGTCATTAGCTATGTCCCGGTTCAGGGGTTGGATCCTTCGACAGACTCAGCCCACGAGCTAGAAACGAGACTGACTGCCCAAGCGTTTCTTGTCCAACTTGAAATTTCCAAGCTTGGCATCAGGAAGCTGCTCTCAACCAGGCGACAAAGTGTGACGAGGACCAGTGACAACAGAGACTATTTTCACAGCATGAGTTTGAAGTACATGTAATATTATAACATTGAGGACAACTGAGTCCCACATTAATGGAAAATATATCCACATATCTTTTCCTGAAATACCTGGTAAACAACATGGTCACATGGCATATCCCAACTTAATTAATGCAACATTGAGTTAATGGCTCGTGGATTCACTCATTGAGGTTTTTGTAGTGCCTTTGAAATCAGTAAATCACAGCTTACAGGTTCTCCTTCTTCATCTTCTCATGCTCCGTCTCCTCCTCCTCCTTCTCCAGTAGGGAACCACGACACACCGAGACAAAAGTGAGTGGCTTGCTAGAGCCAATAACCTCCAGTCCATTGATTTCCTGTAATCAAAGTGACACGGAGTGGTGGTTGTGAACGAAGTGGGCAGCTTTGCATGTCCATTCAACATTGTGATTCCTGTTATTGAAAAGTAAGTAAGTAAGTAAGGAGAAGATGAGGTGTCTGATGAAACCTTCAACGTGACAGGACGAGGTGTTGTGGAACACACTGTCCAGTTGGCTAAATTAAATTACACACCTGAATGTTGCCAAAAACATAGGTCTGTCATTACATTATGTGATAGGCAGAGTGACACGTACAAAGCACATGCAATGTACTGTTCTCCCCCTCCTCCTGAGGTTCAAACTTTACCGTCTGTAAAAGGTATGTTTCTTCCACTCCTTTCTCTTCTTCCTCCTCGTCTACGTACCTCCCTCTCTCCTCTTTTATACTCAATAAGCTCACCCTTTCCCAACCGTCTCTCTCCCTTTACACGTATGTCACGAAGCCATGGACAAGTCAGATGCTGACAGGACAATTTGTTACTGTCTGTGTGTTTGTCAGGAGCTACTTCAGACCCCAGATCCCCTCGGCATCACATTAGCCACCAGCACGACAGAGCACTCTTTTACCGTTTTTTTTTTTGTCACAAGCACATATGTGTGTGTGTGTGTGTGTGTGTGCGTGTGTGTTGGTGTGTGTGTGTGTGTGCGTGTGTTGATGTGTGTGAGTGTGTACTGCATAGTGAGCAGTAAGGCAAGATTGTTCTCAAAAGTGCTACTCTATGACTGGACATGCTCCAGATTTCATAACTGTACCTTATGTGGGAGGGCCTCATTAATCTCATTATGCAAGTGTGTACTCGATGTACATTTAGCAGGTTATGAAATACATCGTCACATATTGGCACAACAGTGTATAAACAGGTTTATGGCCGTGTGCCTGCATGTTCATTTGTGTGGCCGTGCGTGTGCGTGTGCTTGTCTGCCTTGCCCATGTCCTGTTCCTTGTACAGAAAACCAAGAACAGTGTGCCCAAGGCTGGATAATCACAGGCTGTTTGTGAAGACATGAAGACCGATCACGAGCAGCTCCAGAGACAGAGTGTCCTGTGGGTGTGAGCAGCTTCAGAGGGCTGTCCGGAGACAAGGAGTGGTCCAATAATGCAGTTGTTTGTGTTCAAGCAAAAGATCTAGATCTGTGCTGAATGAGCTCTATGAAATTAGGTTATTGTACATTGTTAGAAAGAACAAAAATAAAGTGTAATGTGAATAATATGGGATTTGGATAGTGGCGGCGCCACAACTTTCCGGTTAGATCATTACTCCAGATGGTACGCTGGAGGCATCATGCATTACAGATCCGATGGCGCTGTATCAGACAATCAGCAGAGTACCCAAAGCTAGTGAACACTTCCAACTTTTACATGTTTCTACATTTACTTATATCTCAATATAATAATGATCATACTTAAATCTGGGATCAAACGTTTGCCTGATAAAGTTCTGATTCATAGATTTGTGTGAGTGGGACACTTTACATTTGAAAAAGTAAAACTGAAAGTAATCTTTGCTGTTCTCAAACATACATTATATATGTCGCAGTTATCGCAATGGGCATTTGTCATGAATCTATTTATTATTCTCAGCAAATTTTGTATACGCAAGTGTAAGTTTACAAGCTAAAGACCCCTTTTTAGATTTGAACTGTACATAAAAACTGTGAACCAAGTATGTAATCGTACAATTAGAATTTGTACCTTAGATATTCCCTCTTTCTTTTTATAATCTATTCACTTAATAGTTTTAATTTGTATCATTTCTATATCTATAATGTATTTATTTCTGTCTGTTTTTCTTATATTCTGTGGTTGCCCCCCTGGCATGTTAGTTTGAATGTGTGCATTTTGAGGGGAAAAAAAGTCTCTACTCTCTACTACATGAACGCTGATGTGTCTGCAATTGGCTCGGCCTACATATTGTTCTAGCTCTAGCTGAAAACCTTTGACCTCTTCAACCTGTCATATTTTCCAACTTATTAGGAAATGTTACAAGTTTAAAACAGCGAATCAAAGGGAGCGAGGGCCTATTGCAAAGCTAAAACAAGACCAGTTGTGTTAATTTGAAGTGCTGCTGAGCAAAATTCAGTCTTATAGTTTGTATGTTGCGTTACCGGCTGTTTGATGTCCGTGTCCCCTAGAACCTCTCTGAGCTCCTGACACTGGTGCTGCAGGTATGCACTCTGGTCCCAAGTCCGAGAGGGTAGACGCAGAGTCTCAGCGCAAAATATTCCTAGAGGATGAAACATTTCCCAGAGAGAATACAGTTACTCTCAGTTCAAAGTACCCTAAAAGGAGGGTCTTTCTTGTCTTTTATTGTTTTGTTTGTTGGTCTTTCCCGAGCTTGTTTCAAGATGTTTTGGTGTTGCCCTTAATGCAAACTGTGGTTATCAAAGATGTCTAATTGACGGGGAAAGTGGATTTCACAGAGTAACCTTTTTTTAAATTAGGAAAACTACTGGGTTTCAGGTGAATGCACAATCAGAAGAAACAGAACAAGGCAGAGGGGAACAATTGGGACACAGCATAGGTGTCTATGCGTACCTGATTCCTGGCGTATGCTGCTCGGTTGTCCTACGTGTGTCACAGGCTCCCGTCTGCCCTGCTCGGTCTGAGTCAGAGTGGCTGTGATGCCACTCATTTCATCTCCGTAACGCTGGGGCAGACTCCAAAACTCACTGCCCACACGGTGACCCTAAGACATAGAAAGCACCAGTGAGGACACACACGAGTGAAGAAGCAACAGGTCAAATGATGTCATTGTTTTGTAGAAATATAACAAATATGAGATGTGATTCTGACGGATGACTCAAGACACAGAAGACCAGAGAAAGCAAATACGTGTCATACATATCCAGAGTGGATGAGTGGCATGACTCGGTTCAGAATCTCCTTCTTCTGCTGAGATTCTCTGAACTGGTTTGCTTGGTTCATCAGTAAGTTTACGACTGGCCTGTCGAGCAAGTCTGGAAAGAGTTGAAAAGAGCAGATGAAGAAGAAAAAGATACATATATACATATGTATATCTTGCTATCTTGCTGCGAATATGAGGACTTTCTGGAGCCGGTTGCTGTATTCTCTAATCAGCTCACCAGATAAGATGTCCTGCTGCTGTCTGCGCTGCGTCATGTGTGCATCCCAATGCCGCAGGGCATTACACTGAACGTTTCTGTGGCCTGAAGGGATCCCATGCCCACTCTCCACAGCCTCAGGATGACGCCTCCCTGGGTCCTCGAACGGATCGTATCTCGTGGACTTTGGGATGCGCTTCACCAGCTGGATGGTGGAGGAGGAACCGGAGGTGACTAACGCAGCACAGTCAACGTATTTCACATGCATTTGTCGGTTTTGTCAGCTTTCTTTGGTTGACGGATTTGGAAAGCTGTATGTAAAAACAACTTTCACGTGATCCCGTTATGTTTTCTGACTTTACCTCCGTCTCCCCTTTGGCCTCCAGATAACGTCTGAAATCCTCTAAACTACCCAGGATGCTGTGTGGAAGAAGCATCCCTTGGTCATCAAACCGAAGCCCTTCCGATCATGAAAAGAATAGGACAGAGAAAAAACTGCAATTTTAGCCACATGGATGCATATTATGACTAGGATAACATCTCTTTTTTATCTACAGGAAATATTTGAATAGGCTACTGTACAGTGTGTAATTGGCAAAGGAATTCAACCAACCTGTGTAGTCCAGAAGTTGAGAGGAAGGGTCCAGATTCACTGGATGAGCCACCGGCCCTCGCACAGCATCTCTGACTTCATCCGCTGGCTGTGTTCTACGCACACAAGCCATGAGCGCTGGTTTTTGACGACCCTTGGGCGGCTGTGGTTTATGAATCTGAACACCAAAACATTTGTATTTCATTTGGGGAACAAAGACATTTTCCAACTAATTGTAAATAATGTGCATGGATGAAGTGGGCTTACTTCACTGAGGTCTGGGTGAATGTCAAGAGCCTGGGGTTTTAGCTTCTTGTTCTCTGGAAGAGAGGAGAGCTATATTATCAAATGACAACAGTTTGTGTTTGTGTGTGCTTGATTGATGCTTCATGTTCTGTCAAACCGAGCGCCACAATACTTCAAAGTATCTCTGGAATCGCTGCACACACAGATCATATGGATTCATGGTGCTTTTAGCGATCCACTAAAACATTTTGAAAAGTGTAAAGAGTTTCTACCTCCTTGTGTGTACATCAGTACACACACACACACACACACACACACACACACATACACACACACATACAAAGACAAAGAGATTGACCTGGAATACTGACATGGTTATGCAATTCAGTTCATTTCTCTTTATCTACCAGTGCCTGATTATAGACTCATGGCCAGATTGGAGATCTTGGGGAAATTCAAAAGGGGATAAGAAGCATGTGTGTGTGTGTGTGTGTGTGTGTGTGTGTGTAACACATGCAACACCAGTCCACATCTGTGAGTTCAATAAAGGGCTCTCTCAGAAACAATGATTAATCCTTTTTCTTCTGTAAGTGATGTGCCTCGCTTCCTCCACGTCACAGACTCAGTTATTCAGATAAGCACTTTGATTTGCTCTAAGAGACGCCCTTGGCCCTCGAGGAAAGACATTGCTGCATCACTCTGATGTGTCTTTGCAAATGAATCTATCAAAAGCTTATGATACTGACCTACTTATTTGGTTAAGATCTTATGTATTTCTTCCTGACTTTCAAGGCATCAACTCCACATTTGCTTTCCACTATAACGCCATAAAAAGTGATGGAATGCAGCTAAGTACATTTACCCAAGTACTGTATACTTGAGCATTTACATTACTTTACAGTTACTTTGCAGAGTAAGAATAGTTCATAAAAAGAGTAAGAGTTTTGATACCTTGGGTACATTTTTGTAGGCAGGACTTGTACTTGTAACAAGTAGGCTAGGCTATGTTTACACTGTGGTATCGTTACTTTAAGTAACGTTACTCAGACCTAACAGTTAGGTGAGTAAAGTTACTTCTTCCAACTGCCTAAAAAGAGGCAACGTTTCATACACACAGGGGTAACGACCCGTATGATAATCATTGTCATCAGTGTTGGAGATGTCACAGAGTGGCTTATTAACGCTACGTATCTACGATGCACGCTAACTGCATGCTAACTTCAGACGGGAACACACGGACAGAGAGACACACCGAGAGCTGTAGTTGTAGCTGACCTGCGTAACGTCGGAACATCTTCTCCGGTGACTCGCCGCGGCTCATTTGCTGTAACTGACGACTAACGGAGCGCGAGTTAGCTAGTTAGCTAGCAGTGCTAGCACGCGCCTGGCCCCTGTGTGTCATGGTAACCGTGGCAACGGATGCCTCGGAGTCACAGGACAATGAGAGAGCCTTTCTCTCTCTTTCTTTCTTTCTTTCTTTCTTTCTCTCTTTCTTTCTTTCTTTCTTTCTTTTCATGAGCAATACGAAAACCAAAACAATTTACAGATCCAAAAAAAGGAAGCACAATAAATAGGCCTACTATTGTATGAAAAAAAGAGAAGACAAAGAACAGGAGCAAGGCACAAATAGAGCTTATAAATGGTTAATAACACCTAAAAACAGCCTACTGAACGAAATCTTTCTCCTTTATGTATGCGAGGATGGGATGCCTATATAACAAGTTAAACAAATGTAGCCTACTTTAAGCAATAGCCTACTATAATAGAAATAATAGTTTTAACATAATAATGACAATAATTTAGGACATTGCATATATAGAATCATATTTGACGCAAGTTATCAAGGGGTTTCACAAGCATGCCACGGGTCATGTATAGCCAATAGGTGCTCAGTTGTAGGCTATAGCCCGCATCATGTTTTGTCAACACACGCGTGAGGAACACCTCTCTGTCAATCAGCATGACGCGGATGAATCACGGGGTTGAGGATGGCCTATATATAAAGACAACTGACATCAGCCACAGCAAGCTGACGGCTTGACAGCAAGCTTGAGTGTGCCTATGAAAAGTCAGATCGCAGATTCTGCCCACTTTGTTGCGTATTATTAATCGTATTAAAACGATGGAGAGAGGCAGCATCTCCACCGGAACACAGACCACCTCCATCCCTGTTGCGCACCAGATCAGCAGTTCCACCACTGATGGTCCCCAGTTTCAAGGTAATATGGACGGGCAGTGCGCCGGGTCCTCCAGTCTCTTACTGACTTACAAAAACGCGTCGCAGCATCTGATTTCATCGGGAATTAAAATAGGATTGAGGATACTTAAAGTGGCCTCGTCTCAGTGGAAACAGGAAAAGAAGACGCGCTCAGATGTAACCATAAGGCAACTGTCCACAGCCAACAGCAGACATACATGCAAGAGATCCTCACTTGATCATCTGGCAGCTCTGGTTCTCCACGGGCAAACCCGGCAGCGTCATATTGACCAAGAGCAAGCACCGACCAAGCCTCAGAACTGTAAGCGCATCGTAGTTCTCGGTGCGCCACGGGTCGGCAAGACGTCCATCATGAGAAGATACCTTAGGGACGGATTTGTGGAGGAGTACAGTCCCACCTCTGAGGATTTCCTAAGGAAACTGTTTCGTATCCGCGGAGAGACATACCAAATTGACGTCCTGGACGCGTCCAGGGAAAGGGATTTCCCAGCCAAGAGGCGGCTGTCTATCCTCACTGGTGCGTATTGGCTCAGTAATGTCTGCCCTGCAGGAACTTACAAATGCTTGTCAGTTTTGTTATGTTTTCAAAACAGAAGAATCGTTGCAATTGATCTATAGTTGTGTGCGTAAATGCTATTATCTCTCGAATAATGCATTGATAAAAAATGTCAACTATTAGAGAAAAATAATTGATTTTATTTATTCTTTGCAGGAGACATTTTTCTCCTAGTATTCAGTCTAGATGACCGGAGCTCTTTCGACGAGGTGTGCGCCCTGCGATCGGAGATTCTTGCCGCAAAATCCAAGCTCACCAAATCCTCTGTGCCAGAGCAGTGCGCACAGCCGCAGGTTCCCCTGGTGGTCTGCGCCAACAAGATGGATATCCTGAAGACTGAGAGAGGAATATCCAAGTCAGAGGTGCTCCAAGTCCTCGGTGACGACTGTGCCTATTTTGAAACATCTGCAAAGGAAAGCACGAATTTAGAGAAAGTCTTTGAAACTTTGGCAACGCTTGGCGGGCTTCCGACTGAAACTGGCCCGTCTCAGCATCGCAAGCTCTCCCTCCGTTCCTACCAGGCAATGCGGACAGGCCGTGTGCCGGGGCGATATGAAGCCTGCGGTGCCCTGTACCCAATGGCCCGTCGGCCGAGTTTTAGCACGGATCTCCGACAAGTTATTGGGTCACATACTGCAAGAGAGCCGGGTAAAGTGCTGGGAAAATGTTGGATTCAATGAGAGACAATTATAGTATGAGACAAAGTGTTACAGAGCAGATAACATAAGGAAGAAAGCACTGATGTCCATGTTAATGTACACAATATAATGCCGTATCATTGTCTAATTCAATGCACTCGAGATGATCTTTTCAAATAAAAATATTTTTAATATAATGGCTTGCTTATTTACACAAGAAGCTGTGTATTGTATATCTATCTATCTATCTATCTATCTATCTATCTATCTATCTATCGATCTATCGATCTAAGTGAGTGTGTTTATGTGCTTTCAACTGTGAAGGAGAATGTGGGAGGATGTTGAGTCAGAACTTCATTATTGTAGCTATGACTATTGCATAACCTTTATTCATATTAGATATAGCAACTCCTTCTCTCGCCCACTCTTCTTTTTTTCTCCCTGTGTGCAAATGTGTGTGTGTGTGTGTGTGTGTTTGTGTGTGCGTGTTAACCTTCAGTGAGGATTTCCAGATGTCCACAGCCTGAATCCCACACATCGTGAACAATCAGATTACAGCCGAGGGTTACATTTGGATATCACGAGTTACCTCCCGATCCTAAATGACTCTATACATCTCAGATAGGCCTGTCACTCGAGTGGGCGTTTAATGCCTGTCAACAAGTGCACTTTCACGGCCACGATGAATGTCAGCTCACTCTTGATTTTGTGCAGCTGAAGAGGCCTCTGTAAATGTCTGGAGGGAGAAGTGTTGGTCTGCTCAGCCTACATCTCATCTTCCAAAGTGAAGCTTTGCATCAAGACATAACAACTGGATGCAACTCCAACTATATGGAATGAGTGAATAACAGTTACAAAGTTGCATTGCATGTTTGTGGCCACCATACATTTTTAATAGTGTTAATAGCAAAGACATCTTGCAGTAGTTGTTAATAAAGTGGATGTTTGTTTTGTGCTGCACTTGAAGGTCGTTCGCCTCTCTTGCTGGAAGTACAATAGAGCGTTTCCATGGCCACTGCTTGTGAGTTTATATTCAGACCACTAGGGCTTCACATTAGACCTCACATGATCCCCGCCAGCAGCATTTGTAAAAAGTTAATACAATTACACAATGCAATGTCAAATGGATTAATAGCGCTACGCGCCCACGCTGTCACCTAAAAATAGTGAACAAAGTGCCAACTCTTAAATATCTTCTTTACGCATTAAACGTGATAATCACACGATGTCACGAGCGAGATCTCATGTGCGTTATTCTGAAAACAACAACAAGTGAAAGTCGTTTCTTTACTCACAGAGCTCTGTTTGGGTGCCAAATAAAAACGCCTGAAAGCCACAGAACAATGCAAGCCGCACCGAGGTGAGGCCGAGGCTCAGAGACATTTCATTTTGATTTTAAACAAGAAAACTCTAATAGTGGTCCTGAATATGCATTGATGGCTATATGCATGTATATGCATATGTATTGTGCAAAATGATTGAGATTAAACCTACCAAGGCCAAACGTCACCAGTTAATAATCCATGTAGAAGACATAGGAGAAAGTAAGAGCATTGCTCATTGAATTGCTTTGTTAGTCCTGTAACATAAGAAAACATGTACAATCAGACTGTTATTTTGGTCTAACAAAACTCTGGTAAACTTACACTGTAATCTTCACTTCTAACATTACAAGAGTATTTTAGGATGAAGACGACAAATGTGTTTGTTGAATGTAAAATGTCCGATAATGAGTTTGGGTTGGTGTGAACCTCCACAAATCAAAGAGCAGGATGAAGTCACATCCACTAAAGATAAACTCACACTTTATTTTCATACATTTCTTTTCCTCATTATTATTATTGCCTGTTTGTTTGAATTATTCTGAGTTAATGTTATGTTTCTTGACATATTGATAATAGTTTGTCCTTCTATGTTTTCTGCCTCTGCAGCGTCTAAACTTTGCTTTTCTGCTGTCGCGTGATCGGAAGTTCACACTGCAGGAAATCTGAGCCAATTACACTCCTGTGTGGCCCCAACCACTTTATTGCGCGTGCAGTGACACTTGACGCCTTTGTTAAAGCAATCAGTAAAACAACACACACAAACAAACACACACACACACAGAGGCAAACACTCCAGCCTCTGAGCCTCGGAGGATTCAAATTATGTTCTTGTTGTTCTGTCTGTCTGTCTGTTTCTCTGACACACACATGGTACATGCACACAAGCAGGACAACAGGCTTCTTTCTAGGTGAACTCCTGAAACGTGACGCTGTTTCTCTACTTGTCCTTCACAGGAAAGATTGTTATTCTGCTGAGGCAGCTCAGCATCTCAACCCACCAGTTCTACAGACCTGATGCATAGCTTTGCGTTTAGTTATTCACACTCTACAAGCTCAGCAGGAAGATGAATGGATATTGTACTTGTGCTAACTGTTACAGCTTTCTGTCCAGTATTTGTCAATGTGAACCATGTTTCTCTTATCTTCCCTTTTCACTGATGTTCTACGGTGTTTTAAGGAGTTTTCCTCATTTTGTGGAGACCTTGGTTTGGGTTGGGAAGTGATGTTGATGCTGCCCACTGAGACTCATACAGTATGTTGTATGAAAATATACTTGTCTGGCTAGTTTGTAAAACCTACATCTTGGAAAAAGTCTCTACTATGAATTTGGGTCTCCTGATGCACACAACCAGTGTAGGATCAGCACATCCACTACTAATGTCATCACCAACGTTTTAGGTCTTTCTATGACTTCAAACATGAGGTGGGAGTGTAAGCGTGTCTGCACCGAGTGTACGGAGAGTAGTGCTTGTCAACAGTTCAATCAGTCAGTTCAAGGCAGCTGGGGCGAGATCATGCCACGGAGATAAAGATGAATGGAAGCCGTTGGCTTGTCACGCAAGTGATAGAGAATTTAAATGATAATGGTGGAACAAGCACACACACACAAACACACCTGCCACCAGGTGTTGGTCTCTATTATTAACCTCTGCTGGTTTAGCCTGTTCAGCACCAATGAGGTGTACCAGGAGAAACTTGAGGAAGAGAGGATCAGAGAAGAGAGAGTGGAGCACTTTGACCTTTAAATGCACCATAGATATGTTTATGTAGTTGAGGTACCTGTGACAAAAATATGGAAGAGAAGAGGCAATATACAATGGCTGAAACAGGAAATAGATCCTGTTAACTACATCTTGGAATGCTACTCAGGACACCAAATACAAACCATATCAGAAACATCTGGATTGAAGACGGATAAATACACATCTGTATTAGTAATGGCAGATATAGGCAGAACACTTTTTAAAGATTAAAAGGTAATGTGGTTATACTAAGACAATGTTTATCAATTATAAAGAGCTTGGATGCTCTCCTCGTGTTGTGGTACACACAGCAGCCATGCCCATACACAAACCTATTCACAGAGCTGTGGACAGCCTCTTTGGGGATGCACATTTTCAGATGTAAACTAAAGACAATACAAGGAAATAGGAAGCCCCCTGAGCAAAGGCCAGGCTTCCAGAAATTTCCCAGAACACGAATGTCGAAAGTGAAGCCACAGAGCTTGTCTGAGTTCACAACTCGGGCCTGGAACAACGCATTTGGCCACGAGGGAACTGGAAAATATAAATCTGAAGTAATGGCCGAAGGTAAGACAACCTATCTGACTTTAAAATAAAACAGAGGTGATCTTTTGGATTGTGTAAGAAGTGACACTTACTGTGACACTGTGACGCTGGAAAGGGCACAAGAGGGAAATCGTAAAAACGTAGACCTTGATAATGATGTCATTGGCTAATAGTGTATTTTTTGTGTGTCTCTATGGTATGATTTCATATCACAGCAATACCTCTGCGAGAAAAGAAACAGAAAACTCTACCTCGGTCGGATGGGTGTGGTCTGAATAACTTTGACGGTATGCTCATTCATTGTCTCTCTATATCTGTTTACCACCTTCTAACAATGGAACCCTTTACCTAGGCCATTACTAATGGCTTTATTAACGTAAATACATGGACTATTAATGCTTTTTGATCAGTAACACATTTGGGGTTGCATGGTTGTAAAACATCCTTTTGTCTGGTGTTTATTCTTCTCTGGTATAACTCGCTCAATCTTTGTAGCTTATCTGTTTTGACGGGTTATCGGAAAAATGCACAAACCTTTATTAAAACCAAATTAAATATGTTTAAGAAAGTCATGTCTACATTCAGTGTTTCTCACCAAAAACACACTGTGTGTACACTTGAATTCCTTACTTCTCAAACACTTGCACTGCTGATTTTTATAATATTTTTTAATTATGCAATATTTACATCATACATGTGTTTTAAGATCTGAATCACTGAACTGAAGGATGGCGGCCAGTCATTTGAACAAAAATCACTAAGCCAAGCGCACGGAGTTAAGTGTTTCTCCTGCTGGCCCCGTCTGCGTGGTCACACTCAACACATAGACTTAACATTGGAATGACGTCACAGACATAAAGATATCTTTTTTAGGTTAAAGTTTTACCTCCATGATAATCAATAATCAACCTCATTTGCTGGCTGGCGGCGTAACGCTGTTGTCTCTTGCTACATCCGTGGTTCACCACCATGTTTGCCTGCTTGAAGCATTCTTTTTGCCTTTGTTGGCACATAGGCTTTACTTCTTGCACATTACTGCCACCAACTGTCGATAAGTTGTGCTTCCTCATGCTTGTACACAATACAAAAAAAACAGAAATTTCTCAACACAAATCAGCTAAAAAGATATAGCAAGTTATTTAAACAAGCGGGAGATACACCATTCAAACAGGTCTTTCGCAATCTTAGCAAGTGATTGAAAACACTCACTGCTGACTAGAAAAAGAAAGAAAGAAAGCATTCACTTTTGAGTTGTGCTCTGCATTCATTGTGCTTCTGCTGTTACAGCTCTGCATTTGTCCGGAGGGTTGAGGATAGTCCTGGTGGGCAAGACTGGGTCAGGCAAGAGTGCGTCAGGAAACACCATCCTTGGAAGAGCCGCCTTCAAAGAGGACCCGAGCCCTGTGTCTGTGACCCAACACTGTGCGACACAGAACGGGGAAGTGGACGGGACCGTAGTCCAGGTGATCGACACTCCAGGTCTGTTTGATACAGGCATCACAGAGGAAGAATTAAAAACCAGAATCGAGGAGTGCGTCAAGATGTCGGTGCCCGGCCCTCACGCCTTCCTGCTGGTGATCAGGCTCGGGGTACGGTTCACCGAGGAGGAAAGAAACGCTGTGAAGTGGATCCAGGATAACTTCGGAGACGACGCCTCCATGTACACTATCATGCTGTTTACATGCAAAGATCAGGCCAAAGCTGACAATGCTCTGAAGGAGTGCAAGGAGCTGCGGAGACTCTCTATTACATTTGGACGCAGGTACCACGCCTTCAACAACAACGACGCAGAGGACCGAGTACAGGTCAAAGAGCTGATCAACATGATCAAGGAAATGGTACAGGATAACGGGGGGAAGCACTACACCAATGAGCTGTATGAGAAAGCCCAGAGGAAGCTGAGAGAGGAGGAGGAGCGGAAGAAACAAGAGGAGGAAGAAAAGAAAGAGGAGGAGAAGAAAATGTGGGATGCAGAGAGGGAGAAGAAAGAGAAAGAGAGAAACAAGGAGAAAAGGGTGAAGAGAAAGAATATACGTGTGGCCTCGGCTGCTGCTGCCTTGCTGGTGGTAGCCGGGGTGGTTATAGCCGTGGGAGCCAACACCACGGTGGCTTTGGCTCTAGGAGCTCCTGTGCTCCTCTTGGGGGTGCTTTGTGGTTTAGCTGCCTTTTGCTTATGGAAGGAAATAAGATGCAAAGCCAAAGCATCTGTTCCAGTATAACAACATGACCAGGACATCTGCAGTATGTGACCCTGAATATACAGTGGGAGTGTTGCACACATTACTATGTACTGTTTACAGCTCATCAGTGAATGGTGATGTTTTGGCCTTTCCTGCATTCTGCTTCCGAAATGATAAAGTTTTGACACAACATTGCAATAACAGAAGTATGTGATTTTAATGCTGACAGTAAAGAAACGGTATGAAATGCCTTTTCTTTTTGTTGTTTCACTCATTCATCGTTTGGAGCTTGTACATGAAAGCCACATCGTGATTATGAGATTCCAAATAAATGTTAGAATGTTGCACAGTTTATACTTTCATAACTTGTGATAATTGCTCAAATAGAATGTTGATGCAGATTTCCTGCTGTTCCTTATTTAAACTGTGATGGCCTTGCATTATTATTAGTAACACTACTAGCGCACTTCCCTAAAGGAAACCAGAGACAATGATAAACGTCCGCTGGCCGATCACATTTCACTGAGGAGGCATTGTTAACACAGCAAACCTCTCACTCTGCTGCCAGCACATCCCTGCCAGCCACCTGCACACAACATCTACAACACAATGAGCAAAAAGGCTTTGAAATGATGAGCTGGAGGCCAGTCTGAGTCAACCACATATTGATCAGAGTATACTTTACCTTTTAAATGCTAGTTCTCTTTGTACAAGTTAAGTAGTGTTTTTTCTTTACATATTTAAAAATAATTCAGATTTGCATCCATCAATTCAAGATTTTAACCCGAGAAAGGCAACCTCCTCTCTGTGTGGCTTTATATATTTTTCTATATTTTATATCTCCCCAGGTTTACTTCTTTGTCCAGTAGAGGGCAGACGTGGGTCGTGTTTTCAAAGACTCAAATTGGATATTGAGGTGGAAGATATTCAATACTGTATTTCCATTTAAATAAAAGCATAAATGTAGCATAACATTTACATTTTGCGACATGCAGTATTTCCCATTTGTGATGATTTGATATTCATTATATCACATTAAAAGCTGGAGCTGTTGCCTTGATGCTTATTAAATAAAACACGTTATAGGTGAGACATTCACGCTAAACAATTAATGCCTTTCATGCCTGGAGTGGTCACTGGATTTGACAAGCGTTTACAATAAATGCATGAAACGCACTGCAACTGAACATCTGAAAGTTCAAAGATTAAGGTTCAGTGTCAATCTAAAGTCAAATGTGATCAGATAAATTAGCAAACAACATAGTTTCACATTTGTCCGTATGGAATGCAACCATGCAGACATACTGAGAGTGTAAGTGCTTCTTGCTCTTAATGCCGAACAGGCAACAGTGAGTAGCTCTGGAAGCTTTTGTGAGAATTCTTGCTTTCACAACTGAGATCTTCATCTAATAAAGAATTTGGTACAAAAACAAACGAAACCTTTTGAAGCACTTGTCACATTGTTTTATTATATTCTCACAAATCAAACAGAACAATTAGAATAGTGTTCTCCACACAGAATGATATTCAGGGTTAGAGTGTAAAGCATCAACATTTAAAAGATTGTTCTTAGAAGGTTAATTTATCATTCAAAGCAGGTAAGCTGTGACTAATGTCTGCATGTAAGTAATGCAAAACAATATGTGAAAAGACAATCAAAGTTATGACCTCACAAGTGTCTCAGCTGTCTATTGTTTTAGGTTTTATCCACCGCTCGATGGCTTTAGAAATACCTGCACCAGTTAACATTAAAATTGGTCTCATGGATATAGCTGCTGCAGAGGCACCAACTACAGGGGCGTTAACTGCAGCTACGACGACTGCTGCCACAATCAACTGATTACTGGCAGTGTTCATATAGCCTGCCCATCTGTTCCACCGTTCCTTCAAACTCTTCTTTCTCTGGGCCTCTTCGTACATG